AAACTAAAAAATAATATTAATAGAAACACAAGTAGGTACCAGCATAAAATGTTTGAATATTTTACAAAATATTATTTAAATACTAAATACCTACTATTTTTATTAAATAAATCAGCAAACAATTAAATTATTATTATAATATCGAACATTTTACCCGATTGCAAATGTAAAAAGTAATAATAATAGTAACATTAGCCGAATATATTATATAAAAAGATTATACTTTAAAAATAATTCCGATATCGTGGATGGATCACCGTTGTTGATTGGAATTTTGGAAGATAAGATATAATATTATAGGGAACCTATTTAATTTATACCAGTACGTAACGAGAAATCATTACAAACGATAAACGATTCTGAGCGAAGAATGGTTCCATTTTTAATTTTGTATGTAAATTGTGGCCCAAGTATATTTTCTACATACGCAAATTGCGTCCTGGGTATATTTCATACATACGTATTGCGGCCGGCTGTATTTTGTATGTGCGCCTAAATACTTAAATTTACAATTTTTGAAATGTACAATGTACATAATTTATAGCAAGGATATACCGATTTCCTATCGGCTGTACAATTTAAAGTTTAGTTATAATCTACAATGTAGATAATAATATGTTCACTAATATGTAATATCACTAGCAGCTGTACGAAAGAAACGAACGCTCGTGGTTTAGGTTTTTCGTTAACTTTTATTTTCACGAACTCATCTTTGATTTTCACAATGGTAAAATATTTGCATAATTTCTTTTATACTGTTTTGGTAGTATATCCTTATACTCGTACAGAGTGTATAATAAAAATGATACGATGCGAACAAAACATACAATTCACGTTTACGAGGGTTTGCTAAAACTTACAATATACCATGTGACACGCGGATAAGCTGGTCTCCGATTTACAAGTGTACACAATACGTCTGTGCGGGGGTGCACGGGAAAACCTACGTGGTGTGACGGTATTATGTAGTGCCGGATGCGCACTGGCGGTGTCACTGGTGGGTCGACTTGCTGTCACCGTATGCCACGGTATTAGGTGATACCGTAGCCAGTGATAACGTCGATGAGCGGTCCGTGGCTCCTCTGATGGCTGGTAGGACGGACGGTCCACTGTCCTGCTGCTGACGTTGGCTGGTTCTGCGCAGATTCCCTTGCTATGACGACGATTGGATAGCGCCGGATACTTCCGTTGTGGTCATCACAACGGGACTGTATTTTTGGTGTACAGGCCTAAATACCTAGTCCCAACTACAATACTATGCTACGTGGTATGCGTAACCTATTGCAGGTGGATCTTATTTGCTCATTCGCCGTTTGGACGGTCCCAGAAGCTTGGAAAGTTTTCGTTCGGAAATCGAGGGTACGCATGCTGTAGCGTGCGTTGTTGGCCGTACAACCAAGCGGAAACCTTGATATCAATTACGATGTTTTATTATATTGTATCGGATTTCTGGAGTCTCTAAATTATTATAATAGATATGAGTAATGAGCCTCTTGATGTTGTTGTATACAAATGATAGTATTTTGTAACTGATGTGCGCATTAATTAATAATGCGCACTGAACGTAAAACAGGTTGGTATGCATCGCGCTCTAACGGCATGCGTTTCGGTAGTGCTGCAGCGATTAGCATAGAAGAAAACCATTACGGTGCGCTAGGTGTATTTGGCATACATTTTGTCTCGTTATGCAGCCAATGTGCATTTGATCGTAGCTTTGTGGGTATTTTGTTAAATTTAATAAAAAAGAACGTTAAGTAAAGCTAATTAATTACACACATTTTTACCTGACACATATTATTACTCATTGTTAATAATACATTTTTAAAGAAACACAAAAAAAAGCAAAACCAATATTTTTAACCATACAATAATACAAATTATATTTGTACAATTCTAATTACATACATACAATTATACATACATATATTATATATATATTAATACAATTATATTGTCAGTCCTAAACCTGTAAAATGGGAAAGAAAATATTAGTTTTGCGAAAAAAGCCATAATTTACGTATCAATAAAAAATATTTTAGCATATATTATACAAAATATAGCCAAGCCACAATTTACGTATGTTTTTAAAATATACCAGGGCTGCAATTTACGTAATATATGACCATGATTATTTTCGGAGACGCAATTTACCGGCTCCGCAAAATAAGAGGATTTTTTTTTTTGATGGCTGCGAAACGTAGATTTTTTCTAAAAAAAATGCCATACAAAAAAGTTACAGCCATGTTAATTTTTGAATTTTTAAATAACTTTGAAAAAGCAAAAGATTATATGGATTGAAAGAATAATGAATGAAGCTGTACTAGATAGAATAAAGAAATATAGAGTATTGTGACATACTATAAAAATAAGAATTGAAAAATTAAAGGAAATCTACTACGTCATGATAGTCTATCTAAAAGTGTAACAGAAAGCGACGTTCAAGATCATATTGGAAGAGGAAGACTAAGGATGGAGTACATAAAGCAAATCATGATAGACATGATGAAAAATAGCTACAAGGAGTAAAAGGAACTGAGCAACAATAGGGACGCATTGAGGTCTGCAGCAAACTAATCAAACGATTTAAGACGTAAAGAAGAGAAATAATTTTGATTCTTTAAATTTTGTTATTTTTGATATGCTTTATTGTGTGGTTGTAAAACGGAAGCAAAATATGCGACCATGATGATTTCTTATCAAAATAATTGTAAAAATACCCACATCCCAAAATTTATAATTATACGTTTGTTTAATTACGATTGCTATGCAACTTTTTATGATAGTGCACTAAGTTTCCGAATATTAGAAACGCACATCAAGGGTGTATTGGTCATAGTAGTTAACTTTTATCAGATGAGTGCGATTGACAATAAATTATTATCAGTTGATCTGTAATCATTTAATAATTTAAATATTATTTATATTTCAGTATATCTATATAAGTCAGTGCGAAATTGTTGTACCTACGTAATGATTGGTTCGATTTTGACAAAGAAATAAAACTCTTAAACTTTGAAAATTTGGTTTCATTAAAATTCGTATGCGAAAAAAAGGTTTAACCATAAAGATTTCGCGACATTTGGATTTATGACTAGACATTTTAAACATTTCAATGACCGTTTAACCGCCGTTTACACGACGCACATACAACTAGTTTATAATAAACGTTTAATAATAATAATAATTATTAATATTATTGGCGTCATTATAACAATATGAACTTTATTATGGAACGCAAATTACTATTGTTATAACTTCCGTGGTCGTTATTTAAGTTTCCTATCGCACGTGGCACACTAAACCTAATACTCTAAAGGCTATTTTAAGTTTTACGTATGAATTACTAATTATAATATTCTGGTAAGGTTGGTAAGTACATTATTTACAAAATTACATTACCTATAAATACTGTATTATCGTATGAAATGTGTGTTAAATATTAAACGCAGTAATAACCCCTCTTTTTATCATTGTTGGTAAACAGTGCGACCTCTGTATTGCTTCATGTACTCGTGTTCGCTGACGAATATGAAGCTTTATATGAACATACAATCTAGTATTGATTGTGACAGATTGCAAGCTAGACTGGTTGGTGGTTGGTTGGGGGAGTGGTCTTGACCAGCTTCGAAATGCTAAGTAATGATTTTCACTCCTACAGAAAATTACACTAAATTTCCCTGCCCAATTAATTGGTCAGTCATCAAATTTCCCGGTGTATCTTATATATTCATGGCCTTGGTTTTCGCCTTGCACGCACTTTAAACCCCCGTTTGCACGTCCAAGAAACATGTTGCAAGGCTCAAAAGCTTCTTGGATTTCTTCAGAGAACCACGTACATTTTTAGGCAACCTGTACCTTTAAGATCGTTATTTTGCTCCTTAATGAGGCCTATTCTTGATTATGGTTCCGTATTATAGGATCCTTCAACTGCTAGCAACCGCTAAGCTATCAAACGGGTGCAAAGGAAGTTCTTGCATTTTGTAGCTTTTCTCCTAAACATAATTTGCCCCCCACATGACTACACGCCTATTAGTCGGCTGCTTAATCTGAGCAGTCTTTCAGATTGTCTTCAAGCAGTTAATCTTTCTTTCCTTGTTAAACTTTTATGTGGTCACGTTGTTTATCCTACCCTATTAGCTGATATCAACTTTAGAGTGCCTTCCCGTCAACTTAAAAATTCTACTCCTTTCTACTTACCTCTCTCCACACCTAAATATTTATCAAATTCTTCTCTTAACCGTCTGACACGTTTAGCCAGTGAGAACCCTTACTTTGGCTACTAAACTCTCTTAATTATATTCAACATTTGCACCTGTAACTTAGATATTGTTTGGCACATTACTTATTCTGCCCTTCTAGCCCAAACCGTTTTCTAATTAAATAAAATGAAATAAAATAATTTTTATATTGTTTATATGAAGCTCTATAAGTATAACTTATATAACTACAATACAATTATAAACTCATAGGCCATAAATAAATATTTTATAAGATGTATATCATCATCACCATTCACTATCATCATATAGCTTCATAACTGCGCGAAATTTAGTCGCAACTGTTAGAGCTCTGCAACTTCTATAGTTCTGGATCATTTCTTCCCAATCCGCAGCTTCCAATCTCTCTAAGTTTTGCCATATGCCATCTATCCACCGTTTTTTTTTTTTTGGTCTTTTGTTTCTTTGATTTCCACTTAATAGCTACTCTAGCTTTGTTTGTTACCTTTTTTTGCCTTACGTTTTTGCCCTGTTCAAACCACTTTAATCTTTGACTCTTCACATAACTATAGTAATTACGGGTATTTTTTCATTTTTCTTGTCTCCGCGTTCTTTCATCTTCGCCAACAGTTCAACACGGTATCATATTATATGGGTCCGCATATTTTTCTTTGCTAGACATAACAATAATAATTGACATAATTGCTATTCCATAACATTTGTCTTTTCTTCATTCACTACGATAGAAATTGTTTTGGATTCGTTTATGAGCATTGTTGTATTTTATATTGCTGACTCTTTATCTTCTCCAAGTACATTCAGGTCATCCACAAAACCTAAAACGTCTAGCGTAATTTCACCTAATCCTGATCCAGTATTTAAGTATATCTTCGTACGCTGTGCATCACTTTTTCTAGAACGATGTTGAATAGTAGTACCAAGTAGTACAATATCACCTTATTTAAGGCAAATCAAAACCTATATATCATAACCACATAACCACATATAATATATATTTATATATTATAATTTAATAATTTATAACATGCACAATTCAATGCAATAGTCTCCATTTTACAGGGAAAATTCGATGTATGAAAATATGATATATCTATATCATACCTAGTTAAAATTAAATAATTTAGTATTATCATGATATAGTAGGGTAAAGCGTTTGAAGTATTTGCACACCTATTTATTTTGCACAGTAGTAAAAAAGAGCCAGTTAGTAAATTTGTTTGATGTTACAACAAAGGAAAATCTATAATTTTATGTTACATATTTTTGCATGTTTAGGTATTTTTGAGTCATTTTTAGGATTTTTAAGAGGGTTTTTTTTAAGTTTTTTCATCATTTCTTAAAAAAATAATATTTATAAAAACGATAGGTGATCGTTAATAAAATCATAAATTAATGTATTAAAAATTTTATTATTTTTTCTATTAGAAAAATAAATGTCAAAAAGTAGTCGATCAATATAGGTACTAATGTATACTTAATTTAATCAACAAAAAATAAAGTAAAAATTTCGTTTAGAAGAAAAATTGTTTTTTTTTTCATTTAGTCCAGGTATAGTTTATAATTAAATTAGGTAGGTAATTGTTTTTCTTATTTCAGATAATTTTTAAATAACTTATATTTTTTAACGAAACCACTAGAAAAAAAATATGTAGAAACTATTTTTAGTGTTTATTTTAGAGTCTTAAAGTGGATTTTATTTATTTTTTTTAATTGCTACACCCTACATTACGTCCTTTGCAACTCTGCTCTAGTGTTATCACTAGTTTCATAAGTAATACATTTTAAATTCCATTCTACGCACCAGAATATATAGAAACAAATACATGAATAATTATACGTATATGAAAATTAATAAAAAAAATTACTTTAAACCATTTTAGATTTATAAATATAATTTTGTTTTTTTTCTCTAATATGAAAGCGATAACACGATGATGTTTCATAGATCCACATAAAACAGTAATTACTGTACAGCTAATCTTATCGATGTTCCATTATAATATAGGTATATGAACACATTCAAGTAGACTTCAAGAGATTTCGGATGAAAAGCGATGAAACTAACCTGACCTATTATAGGTAGGTTCCATATAGTATGGATTTTACGGTAATGGGCTTTTATTTGTTGTTTGTGAATTCGCGTTCGCGGGTTAGTAAAGGAAACCTCGAAAAGTTTTGTAAAACCCTTCCATCGGTTAGAAGTTGAACATAGGTATATGTGTCAGTAGGTAGGTATACCTTATAGTGGTCATGCATTTTACCAGATATAATTCATCTAACAAACATTTTACCTATACATTATAATTTATAATTTATAGGTATTATATTAAATAATACATGGCAGTTTTATAAATGAATGGAATCATGTACCTTACTATTATCTACCTGCATAAACAATATATAATAAAATAATAAAGTAAAAACAAAATTATTAAATGGATAATACTCGTAAATAAATAAATAAATAAATAAATAAATGCGTCTCCTGGAGTATTATGATGTGTGTGTTGTACGGCCGGTCTCGAATTAAAAATTCAAGGTCCGTTTCAGTGCCCCCCCCCTTCCCCCAAGTCCGGATTTTGAATTTCTTACAACGTCAATCGTTTGTACTACGTTTGTACCCGTTAGTCCTACGTTTGTGCTAGCCCTCGTTCCCGAGATTTCATTTGGGGGTCACTGTTCTGAAAAGCCGACTATTATATTGTGGCATTCAAATAGTTTTACTGTTGATATTTGATTATTATTTGACCTTAAATCAAAATAATTTCAAATGTAAACATACATCAGTTTATAATACTATTATTAATGTTGTCTTCTTAAAACACCCACTGCCTATAATAATACATTTAATTATAATTAATTTATAAACAGTTATATGATCTGTGGTGACCGCAAATATATTTGGCAATCTAACGAGAATACCGCGATAATTTCAAAGGTATATTGGACGTCAAGTGTGATAACGCACACGGTGAAGTAGTGAACGAGACGGAACGGCGCCCGGGAACAACGATGACAAAACCCGTTGGAAGAGCGGGTAGCGAGAGACGGCGACAAACTGAAGCCCAAATCTGCTGATAAACTGTATGAAGCACAGCACACACATCAGTTATATCTATCAATTCGACTATTCTTTAATTTTTGTTAGTAAGTTGAAAATAATTTTATCGTGTATAATATTTCGTATAATACAATTGTTTACATGTTGAGGGTATACGGCGTATGCCTAGTTACTATTTGGTGAATTATTAAATTAGGGTACCTAATATATTATGAACTGCGATGAAAGCCAGGGTCGGTTTAAAGCGTAGACGGCATCGCCATCGTCATTTGTATAAAAGTGGAAAGTTTTAATCCGGCTGTAGAATTAAAAATAATATTGATTTTAATTTTTTTTATAGTAGTAAAAACATTAAAAGAAAAACAAACATCAGGTAATATAATTATTGCTTAAAAACCTAAGCAAAATATCTAATTATGTATACAAAAATATGCAACATAAAAATACAGATTTTTCTTTGTCGTAACATGAAACAAGTTTCTTTCAAACTGGCATTTTTTACGGCGGCGCAAAACAAATATACAAATTCTAAAAGTCCTCTATTAAATAATAATAAATTCTAATCATCAATGAATACTAAGCGGCTATCATATCTAAGTAGGTAGCTAATATAAATTATATTTTCTCATAGTCCTACCTTCTGGCCTACAACACAAATAGCAATTTAAAGCATAATGATTATGCCGAAGAATATAGAAATAGGACAAATTATACAGAGTGATCAATGTATCGTAAGATACTCGTTATCTCGAAAAGTATTAAATTTTTCTGGAATTTGTTTTCTAAAATATTTAAGAAACAAGCTGCTCTACAATTTTATATTTATGTTATTTGTCACCCTTATTTTTGGGGGTAAAAATACTACATAATTTTAATTTTCGAATGGCAATCTATATTAAAATTTCCATAAATAGATGGATTATTATTTAAAATAAATTTAAGTGTTGACATTTTTGATTTCCGTCAATCCGTTGACAAGATATTCCATTTTTTAGTATGAGTTGAGGGAGAATGGTGGTGCATTATTAACATGCCGTACGCCGTACCACCACATAAATGATACTTCACTACTCTCCTTCAACCCAAACTTAAAAATGGAATATCTCATCAATGTGTTCTAAAAAATAAGTTTCGGAAAAAGTTAATACTTTCCGAGATAATGAGTGTCTTATGATAGATTTATCACTCAATATAGGACACCTGTAAGTTGTCAAATTAATGAATTCCAGGGAATAACATTTTTATCAAAAAAATATTTATGAACTTATAATTTATATTAGTATAGGTAGGTACCAATCATAAATTTCTATGATTATAATCAGTTCTAAAATGAACGCTTATGTTTGTTTTTTATTTTTTTTATCAACCCGTAGGTTGGAATTGATCTACGAAACTCCATCATTTCTCCATTCTAGTTGATTGCTCGACTCCTCTTTAAATTTCTTATAATTGTTGACTCTTACGTAGTTTTTAATTTGTCCTTATTTATGTAATAAATAATAACCCAACAAAAACCTAATCGCAAAAATAGACGTCCTAGGATAATGGGGAAGGTGCAGCAACAGTTATAGATAATTTGATGTAAACTCTAAGCAACGATAAACTATTGCTTATGAAAAAATGATTCTGATCGGAGTTCAGTTGATATTGATGCTTTGTCAAATATATATAAGTCATTTTATAGTAAAAAAATTAAATAGGCTTTATATATTTTCTTTAATAATATTTATTTAATATTGTACCGATTTTCCCAATTTTTCTACTTTTTTCCCGGTTTTCCGAAAACTCCTGAGAAAATCATAATAATATACTAATACATTTCGTACATTTTCCAGTTTTGTTTTTCGGTTTTTCGCATTTGATGAGAAAAATCCCGAGAAAATCGAAAAATAACCTCTTTAAAGTACCTTCCTATTGAAACTTCCTTCCTAAAAAAAAATAAACATCTTTGTAAAACCATAAGCTTCTTCGTTCCACTCAGAATCTAAAAGGGCCAAGTTCTAGACCCCTCCCGAAAAATTCAATATAGTGATATCTTTATTGTGATCAAGACTACTCTTTCTTTAGTCCATAACTTCACTTTACTCCTATTTTCATGAGCTACACTGGTCTTTTATTTTTATTGTTTAACACTAGGCTACGTTCTGAATTTTTCTTTTCCTCCCGGGTTCTTTTCGGAATATTTCCAATCACTAGCGTAAATCTTATGTGAGTACTCGTGAAAAACATCAGTTATGTACGAATTCGTTTTTTTTTTTGTATTTCAATGAAAAATTTAGAATCCGGAAATTTCCGTAAATACTTACATTTAGATCTTTCGAAATATCTTTCAATCACAACTATGATAGTTACCTCTGACATAGGGATATACTATTTCAAAGATGTTTTTATTTATTTCGTGTTAGAAAACATTTCTGGTGTACTTCTAGAATTAGGAAATGTGCATAATATTTTAAAANGTTTAACCTACTAATTTTATTAAAAATGCACAAATATGTAATTTTCTAATAAATAGTTAAGATAGGTACTCTAAAATTTCTAAAAAATCAGTTGAGTTACGGAGCCCTTCGTATTGCCCCTTAATTCGATCACTTGGCAAAAATCTCCTCACGATATTTTGATCGAAGCCTTAGAATTCAACCGATTTTTCAAGACATCGCGTGCAAAAATCAAGCACGAATGAAGCTCGTTACACAAAAGCATGTTCCAACGTGGCCACTACTACGGGCAACGGCGCACAAAATATACTGAATGTCGGCTGGTGCCTGACGGATAAAAACGCTTCATTAACGGACCCAATTCGAGCACATCATTTTACACGCCCGGACACAATTCGTACAAAATTTAAAAACAATATTATTTTCGGACCCAACTCGGATGCAGCCTTTAAATCATTCCTTCCAAGAAACACGATTAATATTATCGTTTTCGTTAAATTTAATTATTATTATCTGAGGGGGAGTGCTTATAAATTGTCACCTGTGGGCGTCATATGACTTACCACGGCTCTGGTGGCAACTGTATATAATATATTATTTATGCTCGTAATAGGAAAGATAAAGCACTCGTTAGGGTCAGTGATTCATTTATAGTACTTAAGTACAATAGTATGTGCATGTTTTTATAATCATCGAAACACCATGTATCTACATCGAACAGTCGGTTTAGTTATACAACCATAACACGGGTATACTCTTTATTTTATTTACAAATAAGTGCGGTATGCGCGTCGCCCACACTCTCATAAACATTTTACTTGTATATGACATCCGCCGATTATAGTAACAATATTTATAATTGCATCGTTTAATATTATTCCACTGATAAGGTACCACATTATTTAAAACAAATCAAAACCTTATAACTTAGCTCTTTATTTATTGAAATGTTATAGAGAGAGGTAATTCTGAGGTGTACAATACATTATACCTACATTGCTATACATTATCTATTGTGTTACTTCTCTGTCTTACCTTTTGAGAAATTGTAATCGAATAAATATTTTTATGTGCGGTCCGCGTAGTAAACTATTCAATATATTTAGCCGGATTTATACTTTGTGTTCGACACGCCAGCATTGCTTTCAATGATTATATGTATCATTATTTATTATATAATGTATATATATTGCATTAAAAAAAAACGATAGCAGCAGTGGGAAAATATTATTACTTACCTATCCTTTATTGATGTCGGTTAAACTGAAAACAAAAACAAGTAGATCTCATAAACTCTGAGCACACGACAGTGTGTCGGCCAAAATTCAACAATGCCAGTCATATGTCTTTACATGAATCAATTTACCTGGTTTCTCTAACACTCATATAATTTCTGCATCCGTATAGATGGGCTTTTAAAATTTGAAACATAAATTAAGCATACCATAAGTTGTTTAGGACACTGAACAAATTAAAGCTCTTATTAATGCTAAGCCTTTTCAAAAGAATTCAAAGAAAGAGAATTTTAAAATTTGTAATGATTGATCATCACAATGTTATAAAATACTTCTCGTATAAGTATAACGAAACGAATAAACATGAAATTTGGTTCAAAGGTAGAATTTATGTCCTGTAAGTAAAAAGAAAAATCTAAAAATTTGAATTTTCTTAAAATTATTGATACTTTGGGGAAGATAGGGGTTGACAAGAGCGTATTTTTTAATTTTTATAAAACCTGTAAAATATTGTGTATCAATTTTTATTTTTATAAGAGTGCTCATGTAATGTCATAAAATGCATGTCGTCCTTGCTTGATAGGACAAGCATTAGTCTTTATCAAAATATGACGACGAGTCATGACAGCTGGTCTGGATCGAAAGCGGGTCGTTAAACTCGGGGCTTGTTGGATGTTGTGGGGACACATTGATGTTAGTTTACGTCTGATAAATGGATCCATTAGTATTTAATACTATTAAGTAAGCCAGATAATTGACGATAGTTTCATTATATATAAACTTAAGATAAAGTTCTCACATGACCTAATGATGACTCAAAACAGATTTCGATAAAGTTTGAAGTCATCAGCCGAGAACTGAGCTTGTGCATCAGTATCAAATTCCCTTTTTTTTGGCTTACACCAATTATTAAAGTCATGGATTAAGTTTGTAAAATGGCTTTATTAGACGTTGGTAACTTAGTATTCTCGTGTAGACAAGTTTACGTGACTCTGTCCAAGGTAACAAGCTTCCGGGTAGTTTACGTAAATGACTTTGATCCCTGTCAGACAAAAACCAAGGATAGTATCATTTTTAAATATAAACATCTACGATATTTGTATAGGTCAGACTTAGTGGTCGAATTAGGAAAGGGCTCCGTAACTCATCTGATTTTTTAGACATTTTAGAGTACCTATCTTAACTATTTATAAGAAAATACATATTTGTGCATTTTTAATAAAATTAGTAGGTTAAACATAAATAAAAAAAATTATTACATTACAACAAACCATTTTTTTGCCAATAATTGTAATTTATTAGTAACCTTGTGTTAAACTTTTGAGCATTTTCACTGGGCTAATACAATTTTAATTAGTTACAATCAAATAAGAGCCTCGACAATTTTAAATGTCTATAAATAACTCAACAGTTGATAGAATGTTTTAAAATTGCACCATGTCTCATTTGTTTTCATTATAAATTGGAGCAAGTCCTGTGGTAGAAAAGTTATCTACTAAAAAAAAACAAATAGATAAATATCTTTGTAAAACTATGAGTTTCTTTGCTTTATTCAGAATTTTAAACCAGAATTTAAGCATTAAAAGACTGCAATATGGATATTTTTTCTTATGTACAATTCATTTTTAAAATATTATGCACATTTCCTAATTCTAGAAGTACACCAGAAATGTTTTCTAACATGAAATAAATAAAAACATCTTTGAAATAGTATGTCCCTATGTCAGAGATAACTATCATAGTTGTGCTTGATAAAATTAACTTTATTAATACCTAATTAATACATAAAATTGTCTTAAATTTGTTTGTAGAAACAAATGAAAACATATTTTCAAATGAAGAGGTCATGGATGAACTTCTATGAAGCCTAAAAAATCTAGACATATTACTATGAAATTGAAATATGTACAAAAATAATTATAGTTTAATGTAATTTGTAATATAGAATAAGCCTCCTTTCCTAAATACATACAAGTAATGTAAAAACAAATAATCGATGTAGGATATTTGTTTTAAATGTACATTTGTACAAAATGTTATTTTAGGTTATTTACATAAATTATTATATTGAAAATACACTTCAATGTATAATACCAAACACAAATATTTTAAGTTACTAAAATGAAAACCAAAATATAGGTGTAGACCTCATTACACAAACATTTAAACTCATATACAAAATAGTATACAATTTTTTATTTAGAATTTGAAATATTTAGAATATTATTATTTTTAAATCTACAAAACAATGGTAAATACAATAAATCAATCAGATTAACAAGACAATAATATGAAAGCTAAATAATAAATATTTTAGTTTACATTATGTGTTTTTTTATTTTATTTATAACAATAATTATATATTATAATATAAATATAAACATATTATATTGTAAAGTTCAAGTGAAAAATATATATTTTTTATATAAAAGATATAAAATTAATTAAACACCGATTCCATTAAATTTAATTTGAAATTAAAAAATATGATTAACAGAAAGTAAAAGAATAATTAAGAAATTGGAAGTGTTTAAATGTTACTAATTAAATGTGTAAGGAAGTTGATGAAGGAAAATGGAAGTTCGCTATATCAAGGTACACAATCAAAGTATTAAAAATAATTATTAACTATAATTTATATCAATATTTTAATAATCTAAATGCAGTAGCACACGCATTATTATAGGGCAATAGGTAGATTGAACGCTAAATTATTTAAAATTAGTGGGTGGTTACTAGTTTGCCAATAGGCAGTTCAAATTTTATGTTAGAACCAAATGTATATACCATTTATAATATTTATTACTAAACAATATGTTATATTGGTTAATGTCTTTACTAACAATTATATTTTAATATTGTTTAACTAATTTAAATGTATATTAATATTATCAGTTATAACTATTGTAGGTTTTAAAAAAAACAGCATTTGGAGATTTAAAGGAGCCCAGTTTAGATTATTGATTCTTAATAAGTAGAAATTTTCAAAGCATACAAAAAATAGAAATGTTATTAGTCAATTTAAAAGTAAAATATCCACATACAAATACATTTTTCATAGTATTAGAAACTATCAAAACACAATTCCATATTAAGTAATAATAAAATAATTATTACATGCTATTAATCTCATATGGGTAATATTTTTTTTTACTATGGTATAAATTGACTAGACAATAATAACACAGACAGACGTGTAACATATTATTATGCTATTTATAATATGTTGATTTCAATTTATGCCACTATTAATTTCTGACTTTTTAGAGTAGCTTTCTCTGGTCGAGCTGTAACACAAAAATATTATTTAAATTAATGAGTGCATAAAACTAATAATGTATATCTTAAAATAAGTATTTAAAACAATAATATAAATAATGTTAAAAATCACTTTTAAGACTAATAATAATTTAATCAAACATATAAACAATAGAACTAAAAATCCCCATTCTTTTGAAAATGATGATATATATAAACTTAAATGTAACTGTAATAAATTATATATAGGTAACATAAAAAGAAATTTTAAAATATCATACAAAAAATACATTCCTCAAATAAAATTTAAAAAAACTTTAACTTAAATTCCACTAAACATGTTTTAGAAAAATAACTATAATATAAGCTTTGATATTAATTCAGACTTAGAGATATTAAATATCCAAAATAACATTTACATTAATTCAGTTTTAGAAGAATTACATAAATACAATAAAATAAAGAAGAATAATTTTAATATTTTAAATGTTCAAATTCAATTTTAAAAATAATATCTGACACAAATACATTTTAGATAATAAATAATAACCAAATAATTTATATTTCTTAATATATCTGTCTAATAATAACCCATTTTAAATAATCTATCCTACTAAAATTAATTATTTCTATATAAACCGACCAATTTTTATCATTTTGTTTTTCTGTGTATTCCTTTATTTACTTTTTCATATTCAATCACATTTTAGTTTTTGATTTTATGATTTACCTAATGATGAATTTTTTATTCCAAACCAGTTGTACAATACACATATAATACTCCAGGGACACATTTATTTATTTATTTATATATTTATTCACTATAAATATTTTTTTATTATTTTTAAAAATATGTAAAACAATTTTAATAAGTTTAGATTAGCCTGGATGAGGGGGAAGTTGAAAATTTTGTTCATTGACCCAAATTTTTAAGTTATACCACTAATAACCAGTCTAAATTACTATATGAATGCAACTTAATTTGTTTTATTATTTCTTTATTTTCAGTATTGTTTGTTAAATATACAGTGTTACCCTTATGCTAATAAGTATCATTATTATTTTTTTTTTTTGTAAGATTATTCTAAAAATGTTAATGTAACATATATTCATATTCAATCAATAGTTTTTTAACAATAGCTGTTTTAATTTTTAAAAAATTGAAGTGAAAACAATAAATTTTCAATAAAAGATAAGGAATTACTGTGCCAATAGTGATTGCTGATTCCTTATCACATGTGTTATTCTATTTAAAACTCATTATTTTCACAGAAATTTTCTAAAAATTAAAACGGCTATTGCTAAAAAACTATTAATTGGGTATGAGTGTAAGTTATATTAAAATTTTTTGAATAATCTTTTACAAACCTGCTATTTTGAAAATTTTAAAAAGCGATAAAATATAATCATTTATTTCCAATAATTTAGGAATGTAAATTAAATTAAATTTTTCTGTACATATGTCCACACACACAAGATTTGATTGACAAAATTATTAGCATAAGGAAAACACTATAGAACGTCCTGTATTTACTTGGACAAGACCCTGGAGTGAATATAATATCATCAACAGCAAAACCTCCATTTGTTGCTTGGCCTTCCATAATAATATGAAATGGTTTATTAGATTCAACAGTAACTTGAGCTGGCATCCATGAAGGTCTTGTAGTATCCATATTTTTGGCTTCTAAACTCCATATCTATATTTTAAAAAAAAAAAAAAGAATGTTTAAGCAATTCATTATCTATTTTTAACTAGTGAAATAAAGGCATTCATTTTTACTTTTTCTGCTGGTGTTTCCCCTGAACTATTATCCTGTCTCATAATTTGCAACAATGCTGACTCCCCTGCTCCAAAAGCAGCATACCAAAATGAAAAGCATAGTTGTGGCTCATCAGTCACTGGTATAACCGGTGATATTAATCTTACCATATTATTACCCAAAATTTGATTAAATAAATCATAATATATATATCCATCTGAAATAATATTTTATTTAACCAATATTAATAAAATATAACTCAACAGAGCATTAATAATTCAGTATTATGCTTCTTCTAACCAGGAGCCCCGAAAGTTTTATCTGGTAAATTAGCAGGTCTTCTGTTTACTGTAGCCATTCTCCACGAAGCTGGGGATTTGTCTGTACCATTTGACCAGTCACACATATCACGTTCAAATCTACATTCGCCAGGTCTTACTTTTGCTCCTGCTGGAATAGCTATAAATTTATAATAATTCACATATTAATTAAATTCAATCACAATATAAATTTAGATAAAAGGATAATCATACTTGTACATGCTCCACCAAAAAATGTAATATCATCAAATGCTATAAAACCATTAGCTCTACTGGAACCCCATATACCTTTAAAAATGTTTGTCTTAGAAAATATTTATTCAAATGTAGGTGGAATTTTAATTAAATCAAATCTTTGTTATCATCAAATATCTTCCTTGAATAGATATATACAATATCTATTCAAGGAAGATAAAATTACTGTACTTCTTACCTTCAAATAAAATCTGAAAAAGTTTAAACATAAATATTATTATTCTTTTTCATATTTGTATTGAACTAATAATTGACTTACAGCATCATTAGGATCCTTTATAAGTGCTTGTGCATACTGCCAATCAGGACCTTGATGATTGTACAGCCTCCAAATGGGTTTCATTATGGTACCTCCTGTATTATCATTACTGCGTAGATATACACTCAGAGCACCTAAACTTGGTCCAGTAGTATCAATAAAAGGCTCATTCATTACAAACCTGTTTTCAAACAAAATAAAAAATAACCATCAAATATTATAAAGTAAAATAGTTTAATTAAATTTTACATAATAACATATAGTTACTACAAATAATTCTTTAAAAACTAATCATATTAAGGTTTACCAAAAAGATAAACAACGAGGAGTAGCAGTTGTTTTGAAATCTCTTGATGTAAACCATGCACGACTTCCAGGACGTTGTAAAGCAGTACGTGACAATGTCATCAAATAACCTGTGTTAAATTATTAAAAAATAAAAAGTTGAAATTTTAAAACAAAATATAACATTATATTAATATTGCATTTTATTTTTTACACAAAAATAACATACAGATGTTTAAAGTTTATGTTTGAAATATTATGCAATATCAATTTTAATGATTCATTAAAATTCCAACTTATAGTTTACCTTTTTCAGTACCCAATGTATGATCATGAGCTGTACTTCTTAGCGCCGCACCAGAGGTTCGTTCCCAATCAATATCATCTAAACGTTCTCTAGACCCAACATTACTCCAACCACATTCATCAACTTCAAATGTACAATCTCCAGAAGTAGCAGCTGCTATTTGAGGCGCAGCTAAGGCAATGAAAAATAATTAAAAATTGTTTGATTGTATACTTAATCCTTTAGGGTGTTAATAAATAACTTAATAAAAACAAATGATTATAGATGTATACATATTTTTTTATGTTTTTGCATAAGAAATCACATACTTGGGCAACTACCAGGTGTCAAAGAAATGTCGTCTACAGCAATATCACCAAGATTATTCTTGCCAATTTTGGCAGTAATGACTATTTTAAATGGATTAGCAGATGATACTGGTACCTCAGCTTGATACCATGAATTTCCTGCTTCACCAGTAAGTGACCATATTTCTCTATCATCTCCTTCTCTGGTATCACTTATGGATATAGTTAATGTTCCGATTCCATTACCATACATATGAGTCCAAAATCTAAGGCACAGTGGTGTATCTGATCCTATAATATAGGTAATCTATTCAATATTTACTAAAACTATAATATATTATTAACTTATTAGCATGATTTTATACCAGTTGGCTCAAATTCCATGCTTGACATACGAGCCATATCACCAGGTCTGCGTGGATAAGAAGAATCGATGAATGCATAACCTCCCTCCATGCCACCATAAATGAAACTTGATCGATCAGTTGCCGGTCCAGTAGATGGATTTTTACTACCTCTCCCCTAAATTAAAATGATAGTATATTCATTTACTTATATAGGTACATTTATGTTTGTCAGTATCTAATAGAGATGTTCCGGAAACCCGGCCATTGAGTCCTAACGGAGTACCCAATATTCTGTATCCAATGAGTACTCAGTACTCAACATTTATATAAATTATTACTCGGCTAATACTTGATACCCGGGTTATTAGTAAATAATGTACCCGGAACACCCTTCTGTATCTAATAGATTATTATTAAATTTTACAAGGTCTCTAAGACAAAGATCATATTACTATAGTAAATGTCTTATTTACAATTAAAAATAAAATTTATAAGTAATAGATTTTTTACCAATGACCAGTTGAAATCATCATCTTCATCGTTAATCCAACCACAGAATCCACCTTCAAATGTACAATGACCTTTACATTCCAATCCTTGCTTTATTGCTATGTTGTCTGCAGCGACATAACCACGAAATTTCCTAAACGGATCTGGTAAATCCTTAGCTACGCCTTCAAATACAACCTATACAAAACAAATATGTATTTAACAAATAATGTTTAAACATAACTTAATAATAGGTACACTTTAATTTTATTCATACTTGATGTTCTTTATTATAAGTGTAAAGCACTTCTGAATTCATCCAAATTTTATTGGTTGGGTCTTTAGTGCCCCATAATACTCTGAAAAATCCATCTGGCCGTCCATCTTTGTTGGTAGGTTGTAAAATAACTCTTAACCCAGCTGCACTCAACCCATCAATATTGAAGCTAAATATAAATATTTTATAGACGAAATATAAAATAACATAAAACATGAATTAGGTATTTACCTAAAAGAAATACATTTTCCTTCAGCTCCAGTACTACCAAGTACTGGGCTTTCAATGAATGCGTTTTGACCTTCTCTGATAGTAATGTCATCTACTCTAAGGACTGGTGCAGCTAATAGAGATGTTTCGAAAAATATATATCCTCCTAGAACAAAATATATTAAAAAAATATAACAATTTCAGTATAGAATAATAAAATTTACATGTATTATTATAACAATAATATAATAATTTCCAACCTCTTTCCGCATCTTCTCCTTGTCCAGCATCTGTTGGTGGTCCTCCTAACCAGTTTGATAAGGTTCCAGCTCCCAGTTCCCATTTCAAAACAGATCCATTTCGATTTACCCATTGGCACGTTTGTAATCCGGGATCAACACCAAAATCACAAATTTCTATAGATATTAGAAAATATTAAATAATTTATTATTAAGTATCAAAAAATAAAAGAATAATTCCGATAACCAAGCCCCATTATTATTGTTGTTCTAAAATAGAGATTAGAAATTTAATTGGATTTTAACTCTAATAAAATAATATGCTTAAGAAAGTTAAAGTAAGTGGCTAGTATATTTCGAATTTTGATGATAGATGGCAACTAGCATAGATAATAAGATTCATTATTATCTATAGCCACTGTCAGAGTGATAACCAAATAATTGATATCAGTAATATAACTGATATAAATGTAATTTTTAATTTTCTTCACTCATTCTGTACAGTGAGTAATTCTGTTTTCTGTGTTGAACAGAAACAAACACTTATAATGTAAGTTATTGTTATTCTCCATTAAAATTACACTTACGTACAAATTATTTTATTTTCTGAAAATTATTGACTAAACGTTTGTTTTGGCTATCGTTAAAGTAATGGTTTTGAATACAAAACCTTTACTTACGGTAGAGCACTACAGAAGCTTATACTTATACTTATAGTATCTTACTTACGGCATATACAAATAATTTTGATACCTACTACCTGCCATTCGGTATCCTTACTTAATACAATTTTCAATAAAACAAAATAGGTAGCTATATCAAGTCGGTTTTAAAGGTAGTTGGAAAAAAAAGACCAACGGAAAATAAGATCAAGGAAAAGAGTACACAAATTTAAAATCTTTAAATTAGTAAATTACAATTATGATTATTAATCATCAGTAACTCAATAGATACTGTAATTGATAATAATTATCCAGTTTATCCGTACCTTCCCAGTCAGATTTCCTTTCAGAAAAAGTACTATCATTTTTAATCGGAGCGAAATTGCTGGTAAAAATGTTGTACACAAAAAGAAAAGGACATAATATTTTTTTACTAATACCTAATTGTCGTACATTTTTCGTTTTTCCGACATTTTATTCCAGTTTATCCCAAATATTATGAAAACCACTTGAATAATCAAAAAATGACCCCTCTAAATAACCATGGAAACAAAATTTCTTTTCATAAAATAAGTTACACTTGATACATAGAGCAAGATTTCTGATAGAAAAGTTTGCACAACAAATTTAGGGGTATTTTGCGATTAAAATAGAGGGAGCGATGACTCGGGTCTCTAGATACATCAAAAATGCATTTGTTTTTTCTTTGTTTAGGTAAAATGGAAAAAAATGCAAACAAAATTGTTTCGACACACTTGTTTGAACTCGGAACCCCTAGGATGATAATAGACATAAATAATTATTAGATCATAGCAAATATGCTTTAAGGATAATATACAGTTATAATGTCCGCATAATGTCAGAACTTTAAAAAGCAATAATTTCGAAACTTAGTCAGTCCGCCTAATTTTGAATTCACCATCGTTCTTAAATCCACAATATGTAAAAAAAAAAAAAAATTGAAAATTTGTTCCACATAATTTTTTACTCAAACGATTTTCGTCAAAATTCCTTTGTAAAAAAAATTCTACACTAAACTCAAATTTTCTCTTTTTGACCACAAAGTAAGACTTAATGAACCTTCTATTAAATTTTCAAGCATTTCTGTTAAGTCTAACAATTTTACCACAGAGTACCTACAGAATAAAAATTACATACAAAACTCGCAAGATTAAAATATCTATAAATACCTCAAAAATGGCTTAATTTTTTTTTTAATTTTACCACGTCTAGAAAAAAGCAAATATGAGTTTTCCGTCCAAATTTCAAGTCACTACGAATATTTTAAACTGAATTACAACAAATAACAAAATTGAAAAATAATAAAAGCATTTTTTTCGTGGATTCCCCGTTTTTCTTACGCTTTATCCTAGTTTTTCCCAGATATTACGAAAAACTGCTTAGAAAATCAAAACATGACCTCATAAAAGTACCATCTGGACAACATTTCCTTTTAGAAATGATGCTACTTGTATGAGTAAGATGTAAGATTGAATTTTTGTACACAGGATAAAAAAAAAAAAATAAACGTCTTAGTAAAACCAATATATTCTTCGCTACACTCAGAATCTAAAATCCAAAAAAAAATAAATTTTATAATTTAAGTCCTCCATTATAAACCCCTCTCCCTTGAAAGAATTGGCCAATGTGTATACCGTTCTACAATTTTGCCCATAGCTCATTTCCATCTATATATGCATTTTTTTTTATCCAATTACTCTATTATTATTTTTTCTTCTATTAACAACTATAAAAACTAATTATTTAAAATTATAATGTCAAATTATCAATTCATTTGGTTTGTGTCTTTTTGATGAAAATACATTAAAATATAAATTAACTTTCTTTCTTCTAGTCTATGGACACGTTTTTTCCAAGTAAATTGGCTCCGATGTATAAGTATAGCATCTCTTCTGAAACCTCAAGTCATCTAAATCGTACTTTAAAAAGGTAATTTTTTTGATTTTCGACGCCATTTTTTTGAATAAACACTTAAGTGGAAAAAAACGTAGGAAAACGTACAATTTCATGATTTCATTATTTTATAAAAACACGGACGCCGTTTTCTACCAGAAAAAATGATTTAATCGAAAAATCACAAGATACCTTTTTTGTTGCCTTTTTGATTTACTTTCTTTCGGTATAATCGCCAAAACTTTTGAATCACTATTAAGCTTTTAAGAATTTTTTATTTTTGAAAATTTTTTGCTATAATTCGGTTATAAATACACCTAGAGACTTGAAACTTGGTAATAATACTTATATTGGACTTACCTAGACGTGGTAAGGGTACTTTTTTATTTTAAGAAATCCTAAGGATTAGTATTCTTAAAATTGACCCTTTTGTGACAACATAATTTAATAATATTTATTCACACTGCAAGCAAATCTGATTTTAATGTACAGTATCATCAATGATTGATAATGATAATAAATTGTAAATTACTTATTTAAAGATTTTAAATTTTTGTTCTTTTTTTCTTAATCTTTTTTCAGTGATTCGACTTTAATAGGTAGATAGGTACGCACCTGAGTAAGTACGTAAGTACCTTATACCTAACTTACATTATTTCTTAAATTGAATATAGACAGCATAGTAGGTAGGTACCTAGGTAATAAGAATAACTATGTGTAACTTATAATAATAACTAAATGAATAACTTGGTTAGTACCTATCAATTTGAATAAAGTTTGTAAAATTTGTTAAAAATACCGTTTACTATAATTTACCTGTTCCAGTTCCTTGTCGTTTCACTCTGATCTGAAAATAAATCATAAATAATAAATTAATAATATACCTATTTCAGAATTAATTTTTTTTATTTAAAATTATTTTTCAATGTAGGTACTCTTCATCGGAAAAAAAATATAATTAATAATAAATAAGTAGGTATTAACCTATTAAATTTAGGTACTTTATTATCACCAAGGTTCAGAATTTCATATGCTAAAGAACAATGAAATATGTGTAACTTTGAGTAGCCCTTATTTTGCCAATTTCAAAATTTCCTCTGAACACTCGCCTATCATGTGACGTATAATAATAAAACAAAGTTTGAGGCCATTTGGACAATATTTAATAAAGGCATACGACGTTTTAATATTTAATAACAAAAAGACTGTACCTATGAAATCAGTCAAAATAGTGTGTAAACGACCATAAATCGGAATATGTATAGGATTATCGATTCCTAGATTGGAATATGCAACGTCAAAGAGAATAGATTTATATGTACTTAAAATTCACAAAAAACGTCATAAACGCCCTAAATAAATCACTTAAAAAATATTTAAAATAATAGTAAAAATAGAGAGGTTTAAAAGGTTCCCGTCTATTTTTTCTGATTTATTAAAAATAATTTTTTCACACTAAAAAAACGATTATTACAAAGTAGTTTTCTTCAAATATGTACGTGTTATACAAAGACAAAAGCTTAGTGTTAATTATTTGTCAATGTTAGAAAATTGTATTTAATAGGGTTAGAACCATTAGAGTGGGGATTCTAAAACTTCTTTATCACTTTTGCTTTTTTGAATATTTTTAAGTGCTTTTTTAACGATTTAAGCGCTTTTTTGTAATATTAAGTACATATAAATTCATTCCCTACAGTAATATGTATTAAAATTTAATAAGTACTTATTTTGTTGTTATTTTGAAGGTGTGGGAGCATAGCTCAATTTGCAAATAATTTGTATATCCCCTCACCCAATAGAAATTCCTAAGAACGCCACCATTCAAAATAATAATGTGATGTGTTTTTGAAATGTAATTTAATTTTTAAATGTAGATATTAACATAGTTTTTATTTGGTGGGTAGTAGGTACTATGTGAATATAATTTTTTCACAGAACAGAAATACTCGACATTTTAACAGAAGGTTTATTATAGGTTTTACTTAGTGTAAAAAAAAAGCCAGTATTTTAATTTTTTTTTTTTTTATAAGGGTTTTAATATCGTATTTTGACGAAAATAGTAAATATTACGGCCTCTTAAATCATATATAAACGAACTTCACTCAGAATTGTTTTCCGTTATCAATGGTTTATCGTTGCTTACAGTTATAAATTACATAACTTTATGTATTCTACTTTCTCAACTTCCCACTTATAACAGTGACACGTCCATCAGCAGTATCACCTCTTTTTGTTTATTATAATTTATTATAATATAAGTAAGCGTAAAAAATATTATGTAAATAGTTTTACAAAGATGTTTAATTTTTTTTTTTTTTTTGTTCCGTGGACAACTTTTATACCAGAAATATTGCTCCGATTTTTGTGTATAGCACCTTTTCTGAAAGGAAATCGGTGTGAGGAGGTACAATAAGGTCATTTTTCGATTTTCTCGAGAGTTTTTTCATCAAATGCGAAAAACCGGGAAAATCGGTACAACATTGAACAAATATAAACTAAAGAAAATATATAAAGCCTATTTAATCATTTTACTGTAATATGACATATATATTGTTGACAAAGCATCACTATCAACTGAACTCCACTCCAATTGTTTTTTCGTAAGCAATGGTTTATCGTTGCTTACAGGTATACAGATATACATTAAATTACTTATAACAGTGGCTGCACCCGACCCTATTATCCTAGGGCGTCTTCTTTTAACATGTTTTTATTCATTTCTATTTAAACACATTAGTAAAATTATTATGGACAAGGATACAAAATACAAATAAAATACAATTAATGTTACTATTATATTATTTATTGTTTATTTTAAAGAAAAGAATGTCAGTTTTCGAACGAAGCGAGTTGGTTTGACAAATTAATGAATTATTTTTTCCTTGGTGATTCCTTGATTTTCCGAACATTCGGGACATTCTTCGCTATTTTATGCCACTTTAAGCCCTAAATATAAATGTCCGAACATAAAATATTTTACAAAACTGAATAATGCGACATTTGAAAACCTAATTAGGTTTAAGGTAATTAATAATGTCTATTGTACATAAAATAACGGTGTTGTTTATAATGAATCCATTCTATTTCTACTCAATATTTATTTTTAAAAAAAAAATAGTTTTGGTCAAGTTTAACTAACAAATTTTTATTTTACGGTAAGTTTTAGGCCATATCAAGTTTAAAAAAAAAAAAAAAACTATAAAGATTTGAATAATTCGTAAACGCTGAATAGCTCATCAGAACAGTTTAGCATTTATGGTATTAGGGGGGCGATATAAGGGGTGTTAACCCCCTCCCCTGAACGCCAGCAGAACCTAAAAATAAGTCGGAAATATTTGTAAGTAAGTAAATAAATGCATTAATTTATACATTTAAAATGTATGTCATATATGGTTGTATGTCATTGTAAAAACTTTTTGGAAAATTGCTCACAAACAGAAAAATATACATAGTAAAACCAATAGTTACTCATTTCTTATGATGTTTCAAATAAAAAAATTTTGGACTTTGTCATCTAACTTTTATTAATTATTATTATTTTTATTTTTGTTATTCATTTAATCATTATTATAATCATTATTTATTTAACGTGAAAAAAATAAATTGAATTTTTAAATTGCACTGTTTTACTGCATTTTTACAATATTTCTGCAGTATTCTCATTTAATATAAGTTGAAATGACATCAAACGTAGGTTTTAAGTTGAATTGACCAAAGCAAAAGCAAGTATTCAGGAGTAAAAACTTTTCACCTCCCCTTGTATGGTAATGACCTGAAGACGTCCATGCTTACCTAAGTAATTGAACTTCTCAGCCTCCCCCATTAAAATTCTATATCCTACACCTATGCTACTATTCATATGTTATTTATTTAATTTTTAGTAAAAAATAGTTTTTAAAAAACGGACATACTTCGCACATGGGTGCAGCCATTGTTTCAGGTAAAAAGTTGGTAAGGTGGATACTGACAGGAATATCTGTAAGCGACGATAAATCATTGCTAACGAACAAACGATTCTGAGCGGATTTTAGTTGATAGTCTTGCTTCGTCAACAATATAAGTATATGACACATTATGGTGTAATGATTACAACAATGTGCGTTTTCATGACAACAATGATTGTTTAAAAAAGATTATTAAAAAAAATAAAAACTTAATAATAACAAAAAATAAATAAAAATGGTTACCAATAGCAACCTTATTTTTAATTTTTCAACATTTTTTAACCTAAACAACCAGGTTTTCCTCGTTATCTCGAATATTAATAAGATTTCAAAAAATGGTCTTTCTGAAGTACCGCCCGGAGAACATTTCCTTTCAGAAAAGGTGCTGTACTTGATAATCGGAGTAGGCATTCTGGTAGAAAGTGTTCACATAAAAAAATAATAATAATAAAAAATAAACATGATTGTAAAACCAATAAATTCCTCCTCGCTCCGTTCAGAATCTAAAATAAAAACATTATTAAGATAAAATAGTTATTTTAATTATGTATAATTGTCTATAAAACTTAAACCTAATTATATCTCGAATTTATAATATTTGGTTGACTATTTTATTGTTTTATTTTTAGATTTGGACACAAATTTTTTTCTATTGGCATACCAACATCTAATGTTTTTTGATTTCTCCCACCCCTATTACCCGGACCATAAAGTCTGCAACATATTGGATGTACCCCTTGGTTTTTATCTTAAAACAGCCCTTGGATACAAGAAATGACACCTTCTGCATATTTAGTACAATATTAATTAAGCGAAAATCAAATTTGTTATCTATTAAATAAGTTTTATTCTTTTCATGCAATAAATAGCTATGTATGGCCTATGAGTAATGAGTACAAAAGTTCTAAAATAACTAAAATATTTGGTTATATTGTACTACCAACATAATGTTTTTAAAAATATTGTTTTAAACACAATGAAATTCACTCAGTGTGTGATTTTTTTACACTATACAAATTGCATTGTCAATGCCAAACATATATAAAACAGGTGACTACCTAATTAGGTAATTATTTAATTTAAAAAACAAAACCAAGGTTTGTCAAAAAATTAAATCAAATAAAATAAAATAAAAAATAGTTTACAAGATAAAAAAATAATTATAAATCTATGTACCATAAAAATCGATGTAATTGAATATTTGTAGATATGCGAGGCGCCAATAAATTCTATACCTATACCTAAGTAAGTCTATATCTCAAAATAACTATTATTCAGATACTTTTCTAACGGATACTGATAGATTCTGAGTAAACTAAGTGAGACGGGGGATCTGTTAGTTTTGCTATGATGTTATAGTATGAATTTTTTTCCGTCTATGAACAACATCCAGAAATCTTGCTTCAATCAAAACATTACAAAGAAATCTTTTTTGTTGCATTTTGGCTCTATTTGGTAATTTAAAATATCATTTTTTGAAATACTCATTAATATTCGATAAAATGAGAAAAAACTGGTTCTTTAGGTTAAAAAGGATTAAAAGATTTAAAAAAAATAATGTTGCCATTGACAACTATTTTTGTTTAATTTTTGTTGATATTAAGATTATATTATTTTAATCTTTAATCTATTAAACAATCGTTGTAGTTGTGAAAATGCACATTGTGAAAAAATCAATAATATTAACCGATCTCCGCTCAGAATATATATTTTCGTTAATATTCGTATATTATATAGGTATAGCATATATCACACTAAAAAAAAAAAGGGAAACCGTCAAATGGTTGATCATTGCGTACAGATATAAATTAAATTCTTCTCTATATCCTACTTTTCACACTTCCCACCTACAACTGTGGTCACACTCGTCCTCAGTATTACCTCTAAATATATATTTTGTTTTAAATCGTACACAATATTAAAAATTAACTTTTGATTAATGATAATAGGCACCCAGTTGAAAAAAAAAAGATTAATAATAATATTAGTAACTATATTATTTTAATGAAATGGATATTTTTTCTAAAAATTATAATGTATACACCGAATTATTATTTTGTTTTTATTTAGTTTAACATGACTAGTTAAAACTGTTAGATACTGTTACCGTTGGATAGATATAGGTATTATATTATTATTCAGTTTCTGTGCGAAAAAAAAATGAATTTATCCAAAATACAACACGTGTGTAACCGTAAAGTGAAACTAATTTTCAATGATTTTCACTGTGCACGGATTTATTATTTGTTCGTCATGATCGTTCTTTTGTTTTTGATTTTTGGAAAAAATTATTATACGACAATAGTACCTACAACAATATACATTTCAGAATACTACGTATATATGTATGTATGTATGTATGTATGTATGTATGTATGTATGAATACATATTTGGTTTATCTAACTACAAAATAAAAATATATATATACTTACAGATGTTTCCGAGTTGAGGGGAAATTCTGTTATAGCACTGGACAAGCATTCTAAAATCGAATAACTTGTTATGTACAATATCAACCATGATTTCATTTTTCCTGAAAGATAATAAATTGTATTATAAATCCACGTTTCGATTAATATAATAATTACACGTTTTTTTTTTCTTACAAAAATAAAATTTAATACATTTTTAATTTGTATAATTTTGAAAATCAAACGTTTTATTTATACCTATATTAAGTTTCTAATGTGTAAAATATTGCTTGCGTGAGCATTTAATAATAAAAATAAAAAGTAAAATTAAATTGAATATCAATATTAATTATCAATAATAATAATAATAACAATTGTAAGTATATTAATTGTCACAATAAAGTACACAAATATAAATACAGATAAATTATAGGTATGAGAACACTCCAAATAGCAAAGCTTATGACTGGAGGATTGAGTACCAATGTTAAGTTACAAAAGAAAATTAAACATTAAAACATTAAAACTTAATATCATTACACAGGTTTATTTTTTTTTACCTGTAGTTTACTCAATGATTCACTTTATCTTATCTTAACAGTGTTTTCTAAAACTGTGTTGTTACACTACTATTATTATTATTTTATAAAAATGTATAGGTATCGAAATAAAATTAATTTATAAATTTGTAATTTACATAAATATGTAAAAAAAATTATAACAAATTATTGATATAAGAATTATGTAGGCAGGGATTTTTTTTTTTTTTTAAATAAATCAATTAAAAAAATATAAAACGTCTAATACATTTAAAATACAAAAAAAATCTTTATTTTACTATTTGTAATAATACACTGTTAGTAATAACACCATTAAATTGAACTCGTTTTTATTGATTTACCGCCAAATTTTGTTTTAACTGAATTATAATATACGATACGAATAAAGCACTATGTGGGTAAATCAACCGTCGTTGACTACTTTCCACGTTAAACTGAAGACTCACGAACTAGAATGGTCGCGAACTAGAAAGGGTACCGTTAAACAGCTCAATGTCTACTATATAGGAACTATGGACATTACGTAATAAAAACAGAGTGGGTGTCTGGTAAAATTAAAAAACGAAAAAACTATTATTTTTATATTTTATGTATTTCGCATGATAAAATGTTGTCAACTTGATTGATATTAGCTTATATTATATTTTCGGTCGAACAAGTGTAGTAATACAAAAATAAGGCGGGGAGTGCCTAGTTATATAAAATCGATTCACACGTATAAATTAATTATAAATTTGATTACCTTTCTTCTTCAGGCGGCAAATTGATCTGTTGAATTTGATATAGGTGATCGTAGTAAATAAAAAGATTTCAATATGATAACTGTTTCTTTTTTATTAATTTTTTTAAAAATATAAAACACTGTTCTAGGTTCCCGTGCTTTTGTAAGAATCTCTGCGTAGTCTTTTACACTCGCTTGTGATCATCTGTCCAAAAGCAACGGGAACAATACATACACTGTGTTTATTGGAAGTGGCCGGCCTCCTTATAACTGGAGAAATATGTGTGTGTGCGTGTGTAAATATGTTATCTTAATTTGGTTAATACTAAAAACTTAATCTAATAATTAATAGCTACAAATTATTATAATTATTTTACAATATTGATTATATAATTTATTTTAATTATATATGATAGCTTAAGTATTATCTCCTTACGATGAGTAAATATCGCACTAAAATATATGTTATTTGATAATAAAAAAGAATGGAATCGGATGTAAATGTTTTACTATGATTCCTGTTATTAATTGTTTGATTTATTAACATTACATAATATTTTATTTTACATAATGTATGATAGCTTAAATAGCATATCATTACACAAGTACGCATAAACTTGTGAACAAAATAACTTACACCATTAGTTATTAAGTAGGTACCTGGTACCTGGTAGGTACCGTTTTTACCGGGGTTGCCCGAGTGCGTCCCGAAATGATCCTTTTCCAATGTCCCGAGTACGTCCGGAATATAGGATCATCCGAGTGAGTCCCAATAAAAAAAGATCATTTTTTAAACGTAGCCCTAATGCATATCAGTTCATTTAATGTTACTCAGGGTGCACCACAAGGAGGTGAACTGATCCAAACCCCAAAAATATTAGATTATTTTATTATCTATTATTGATTATTGATTATACCCATTTTGATTGATTGAGTGTTATAAAATAGATACAGAATACATAGTCTTAAGACTAATAGTATTTAAAATTGTTTGCACATGAAAACATGACAATTTTTACATTTTTTTTTGAAAATGTTGTATATTAAGACACTAATTCGGTACCAAGTTACGGAAAAAATTACGGCACTACACTCGTTCACTACCTAATATATAGTTACCTACTACACGACTACTAGCCGTACTCCATAATCTTATTGAGTTTTATTATCAAAGTTGATACAAAATGTTGTTTCCCCACAGATCAGTTTATCAATAATTATTAAGTTTATCAGTTCATAAAATGATATGAATAGGTACCTATTATACTGCAGCATCGATACGACTGCTTACGCAGTCAGATAATTCAAATAACATTTCGATAAGGCCGCGGACGCATCGGGCTATAAAAAAGGTAAAAATTAAATTCCCGTTTTTACTTTACAATCCCGTCGACAAAAGTATAGGTTGGACAAAATTAAAATTAACTTTTAATAACGAATCTAGATTAAATTAGCATTTAGCAGTACCTGTTTTTTTGTTTTATTTTTCGTCTAGTAGGTATAGATGTATGTACACTTTTTAATAACTACCTACAGCAAATTTGTATTGCTAAGTATCTACTCAATTCATTAATTTTCTCCTATTCGCCGTAGATTACCGTAGACACAATTTGTCCATAGAAAACTAATTTAGACAAAATTTCATAAATGATGATTTTTTTATAAAACTTTCTTACCGGCATTCAATGTCGTAATGCATTTTATAATACTTACACTCGACAATATGTAGGTTCTTTAGGCCTCGGTTAGATTAAGTAGGTAATCTAGGCAAAACATCTAGATGTATATAGTTAATAATACTACTATATTTAAATTGCGATTAATTGTATTAACTGTTTGCCTAAGTATAAGTAATTTAGACACTTTTTGATCGTTTGTAATAATTCATTTTGCCTTGACCTAAACTGACAGTAAGTAGGTACGTAATACTATTTTGATTATTTAATAGTTCATTTAACTCATCTATGTAGGGCGTACTGGCGTAGGTAAATAAATTATAAAATTTATTATTATACAGATTTAATAATTAAAAAAATTAAAAAATAATTTTACCACACAATTTAAAAGGATTTATAAAGTTTTTCCATTTTATTCCGTACACTTTATTATTATTTATGATGTATGGGTATTTTACATCAAGTACATAGGTATGTACTACAATATTATATTTTCTAATCTAAGAACACAGCATGTAGACATGCAACATTTCTGCACTACCTACTTTAAAAATTAACGCCTAAATTTTGGTGCCAAAATTTAATTTTAATTTAAAAAAAAAATTTGGTTAATAATGAGAACAGGTACACCTAGATAGTTAAAAATAATGTATGAATATTACATATTCTGTTAACTGAACTTTACAGAAAAAAAAAAATGTTTTGCAACGGATTAGTGAAATAATAAATATAAAATATGGTGGGTAGGTATTATATATTATTACAATAACAATATTCATATGTGTAATATCGTGTTATAGCATATCCCAAAAATATAGGTAGTCTTTTGTAGGTATATTATTTTTCACTTTTCGCAGAGTACAATTTTGACACGCTTTTCAAAATATTATGTACATATATAATATTATTTAGATCACTAAGTATTTATGCAATTTTCACCGTTACTCGGCACTTTCGATAACCGTGAAAATTATTTGTGTTATTATTATCTGTAGGTACGTGCGTTTGATCACATATGATTATAATATTATATATAGGTACCAACTTATCGCATAATATTTCACGGTCTTGTTTTGAATATATTTTTACATTTGTTTACATCTTTTTCACTGTTGTTATTATTACTAACTGTACCCGTACGGCCTCGTCCGTGCCAAATTAAATGGCCATAATAGTCGCAACCACCCATCCCCCAACCGGTATATCCAGTAGCGGATTTTCAACATTTTTCTAGGAGAGGTCCTGAAAAACCATGTGTATTTAAAAGGTATCTCTATTAATAGGTACCTCGTTTTTAGACATTTTATTGAAATTATACCAGTGTCTGGGGGGGGTCCAGACCCCTTGGACCCTCCTCCGTAAATCCGCCATCGGGTCAAATCCCTCTACAGGTATGGCATAATATCTACTTTTTCCTCTATGATTTTAGTTACACCTACATAATAGTAATTTTAAAATGTTTTAAAAAATTTATTTAATCTCATTTATATTTATACACCCATATCGCTCACTCACGAGTGTTTTGCATATTATATATAATAGCTTGTTTGTTTTTCAATCGAATAACCAGTGTGAACCAGAAATAAACAAATAAAACTCAATTTTCGAATTCAGTACAAAGACTAAAAATCAAATGTCAACTACCCTTCAGAGGTTGAATTCCGGGATAAAATTAGCCTATGTCCATGTGTCTTCTAGGTCAGACACGGATCCAGAGCAAATATCTGGGGGGGGGGGCCAACAATTTTTTTACAAGAATATACAATTAAAATATAATATAATGCATTATGTATATTATTTTCTCATACAATTATCATACAAAAATCGGAGAAATAATATGTCTGGGGGGAACTGGGCCCCAAAGTCCTCCTAGATCCGTCCCTGCTCGAATGCGTTAAGTCGTTTTGACGCGATTGATTTACAAACACACACATACTTTCACAATGATTAGTAGACAGATATAACATATTCAAATAGGACTTACACGTACACATCAGTTCACAGGTCCGTCGCCAATACCAAATAGAAAAAAATTAAAAATAGGTACCTACACGTAATGATAATTTACTTAAATTTTAAAATGCAAAGTCGAATTTTCTCAACAACAACAATAGTTTGCAATAACGAGTGGTAAACTATGGTACAGTTTGGCCTTTTTTTGTGAATGATTTCTAATCGTTTAACTCAGTTTAAGGTCCATTATTATCGAGAAACGCTCACGAGTCTACAGCGTTAGATGTGCTGAAGGCCGTAGTTTTATTTCCATGATTTTACGTCTTATATTATATTCACTATAGGTATACCTATATATTATACTCGATACTCGTATATTATATTCGAATAGAAATTATATAGGTATTTTCGTAATGCGAAGTCACTATAATAAGAATTAGTTAAACTCACACCAAGGAAGATCAAGGTTTCGTGATCAATTGTAGGTAGGTATATAATTATTATTGTACTGGGTACCCCATTAACTGTAAAGTCAATAGCGTGAAATAAAATACTGCGTGAACTCAGACGCAACCACTAAAACGAGTTTAATTTTATTACGCGTACATAAAATAATGCTTTGTGTATAGGTATCGAATTTAATAAAACTAAGTACCTACAAGTGTATATTATATATATATATTATACAAGCTATACAGACCTTGAAATACAATAAAAGAAAATCATTTTACTTGTATTAGGTATTTTTATAAATATTAGCTATTAACAGATACCTACTACTCGTATACAATGTATAAGCAATCCAAGAAATGTAATAATATTCAGTAAAAAACTCCTACATACGAGGATAATATGAACAGTGTAATCTATTTAAATAGCTTCACTCGATATTTCGAAAAATGAGTCCATGTGAAAATCGCAAAAAAAAAAAAATCACGAAATGTTAAATATATCAGCGAAAAATGAAAAATTATTTTTGTTAGTAGGTATGCCTATAACAAGTAATAATAATATTAGATATCAATAATGTAATTTTGTACTTTTGCGTTTTGGATCACGAAATAAAGATAAGCTGCGGTTGAACCTAATTTTGAACTTTAAACGAAATGAAAATAAATCAGTATATTCGCGATAGAAAGCAAATATAGAAGCGTTGTAGTTACTTTTACTAACGGGGTCACTGTCTATGCTCATAATAACTGATAATAATTGATAATAATCAATTTCACATTTTCACAATGAAAATTATTAATTTCATTTGTTTTTTTTTATGAATAATTGAATTTATTTTATTCGATTTCATAATACCTCATCAAATAGAAAAAAAAAAAATGTTTACTTCAGTTGTTGAGCTAACTGCTATTTTAAGTTTTATTGGAGACTAAGCGACCATTTATTGAGGGTACGCAAATAATGAAATGTAACCACATTGTTTTATATATTTGTACATGTGGTGGACTGGATGTGTTTGTCATTTTTTTTTATGGCTTTATATTATAATATTTAATTCAAGGTGGATATATAAGATGGACCAGCTCGGAAAAAAATGACACATAAATCACTCCAACTATTTCAACCACTAAAGCACGCTGTTATCAATTGATATCCCATATTACTGCATAATAATATAGAAACCAAGTGATTAAACTTAATTTTGCGTTTTTTAAACATAATAATATGTTTATTTAACTTTATTTGACACATTACAACGTGACTCATATTAATTAAGAACAAATAACACAAAGAATTCTTAATTGTAATTTTTTTTTATTATATCAAGACAATATTTTAAGAGGAAAAATACTAAAATTAAAAATTCCTACGTAAAGTCATATTATTATAAAAGAACAAATATGCATAATTATATTTTATTTTAAACATAATTATTTTTTAATAAAAATTAAATTAGTGGATATTTTTTTTAATCGCTTTTCAGCGACTACATGCAAAAATTATTTTTGGTGTCAAGTAAAACTTGGTAATATGTATAGAAAGTTAAAGTGAAAAACGGGAAAATGTAAAAATTGTCAGTAGGTATTAGTAAAAATATATTACGGTCTTAACGGTATTAACGAATTCCGCTCAGAATCGCTTTTCGTTACTAATGGTTAATCGTTATGTACAGATAAACATTAAATTTCCCCTCTACGTTCCCAATTTCTCACCTACAACAGTGGCCCACCCACGTTATGTTTAGTATGTCTGTCTTTTTATTTCTGACATCACACCGGGAACAAAACATTCGTTGTTTTTACTAATTTTAAATATCAATAAGCTAAGTAAAATATACAAATTTTTGGTTGAATAAGTAATAACAATTTATAATATTCCTCGACAGCCGTTAATGTTGAATAATTGAAAATGTTCACTATTTTCAGTACCTACCTATTAAAATACTTAGCTGGTGTAATAAAAACAGGTCACCTATTGCAAACAGCGCACTCTACCGGGATTATCATCGGTAATCAAATACATAATAGTGCAAAACAGTTATTTATTATATTATTCATGAATAATACAATGAAGTATTATGAAGTATATCTACCTGGTATGTGTCAATAGGTAACTATTGCTTGAACAATTTGATATGATTATTATTAGGAGATAGTATTCGTAATTACTTTTGGTAATAAGTAAAGACCGGATTTAATTGATACTGCAATTTTTTTCAATTTTCGACGTTTACGAAATTGTTTACAATTTTTTAACGTTTTTAAATCATAGGCGTTTACCGTTCGCTTGGAGAGCCCAGCGAGCGATATGCGTCTAAATATGTATAAATATGATGGTAATTTAATTCAACGTAGTAGTACAGCGATTCGCGTACGTTTACCTGTTGGTACCTTAGTACCTATTTCTTTGATCAGTTTGACCGCACAGTGAACGTATTTGACGTAATGTCTAAAACAAAATCAACTTTAAAAAGTAAAATTTCGAATTGGATTGCTCCTTGCAGTGAACATAAAGAAGTATTTTCATCAGATGGAAATTGTCTCGTATTTAACAAATCTGTGTCTACTGAAAAAAAAATATCTATTAGATCATCATTCCAAAACAATAAGTTTTGTATTTTATGCTCATACTACACGTAATATACTACACATTGTTTCAAAAATGAATGTATATTTTTTTCAGTTCAACTAGTTACCTATTGACACATACCTGGTAGATATTTACACTATATTATGTATTTAAATGTATTAATAAATATACCATAATTTATCTTTATAGGGGTTTCATTTTAAATGCACTTTTACAGAAAAAAAAAAAAATGTTCAGAAAAGCACTATAACATTTGTTCGTATCATTGATGACATGTTACTATTATCAAATTATTGTACGGTTCTAAAAGTTAATATTTTAAGGAAAATTTAGTATTTTCTTTTGATAAGTTTGACAGATTATATATATAATTTGTGGTATTAACAACTATTGTTTTAAACATATAAATATACAATTTTTGCCGTAAAAAATAAAATAACCAAAAAATAATTCTTGACGTAAATAAAATATATTTTAATAATATAATTATATTATGTATTTATATGTATTAATAAATATAGCATATTTTTTCTTTAAAGGTGTATCATTTTATATGCGCTTTTACAATAAAAAAATAGAAAATGTCCATAATTGTAGTCAATTTATTATTAAAATACATACAAATAATACAATTTCTGGTCCAGATCGGGTAGGAACCTGCAATTTTAACTGCAGTAATGTTTTCAATTAATTAATCATAGGCGGGCCAGTAAAAGTGATTACACCTTATTAATCCACCTTGATTTAATTATTGTTATTAAAGATTTAGGTTTCACGATAACACTGTTTAAAACGATGTTTCTTTAATATTTCATCTTAGATCATTTGCTATGGATAGAGCTATTGCACGATAAACGCGTATTACGAGTTGAAGACATCAATATTAACGAGTACTAAGAGAACTGTAACCTATTGCGCATGCCTATTAATACTCGTCGCATATTCATCGTATAATAATTATAAAACCATCAGACAGTGATGGTAGGTACGTCACACATGATTACGTAAATTTGACCAATTGCGCGTGATATAAATTTTGCGCTTGCGCATTAATCCAACTCCCCGTAGTTATGTTTGCTTCAAATATTCAGTCATTCGTTTTGTCCATAGTGTATGATCTAAGTATTCCGTGGTGCAATCAGTGATGCCACCACCGATTACATTACAGCTGAATTAAGGAACATATGGTATGTTTATTATTTGGGTGAAATAATATAAATATAAGATAAAGTATCACTCACAAAATCTATGGTACCACTTGAATCAGTACCAACTGTAATAAAAAATAATGAAAATGTACATAAACAACCACATCACGATTTAATAATTAAAATCAAAACCAAATCACCAACTGTACAACGATTAAATTTTAATCCTTGATTCCTTATCACTGTTTAACCACGGAACTTCCTGTACAACTACTGACATTGAGTAATGTTAAAAAATGTAGTAGTTACTCAATGACAACTGGCCCTAATACTGATAAGTTAAGTGCTGATAAGAGGCGATGTCTCTAGATGCTAGTGAAGTTTATTTATCAAAAAAATATAGCATAATAACTTAAAAGAAAAATTGGTATTACTAAAATATAACAACGTAAAAATGACATCCGGTCATCTAACCTAAATAGGTACCTAATATAGTAATATATAATATAATACTCAATACTCATGGTGACATAGCAGTCCACTTGTTAAAATTAAGTTGACGACTACTCATTAATAAGTAATTTTTTGTGTTAACGATGTTTATCATTAGCAGAGAAATCATAATACAAGTTGTTACTTGTTGGTTAAGTACCTACTAAGTTGTTATAACATTTTTTCACGATCCAAGATGTTCGAATTCATTTGGTAAGTAATAACTAGGCTTAGACACAATTTAACTAATAACTAAATAACATAAGTTATAATTAAGGTATAATTCTAGCTTAGCTGCCACTCGATTTTTATGGTTTTTTTTTTCAAAATGTTGTTTTTGCGTGTACATTAAAAATATAAAAAAAAAAAGTCTGACATACTTTTTTTGAAAGTTTTGGGGGAAAACTTCATGAAGTTTGGGTTTTGCGGTTTCGTGAATTTCTTAGATAGAATTTAACATTTTCAAAAATTTTTTTTTCCAAAATATGTAGGTATTTTTTAATGCTTAATCCATCAATGTAATCAAAACTTACCTATCATATTTATTTTTATAGTTTTTGTACATAAACCTTAAAAATAGTATTTTTGGAATTAATCCAAAATGTGGTCAAAAATAGACATTTTTTATTATTATTATTATTTGTAGTTATTGATATTTTGATAACAAAGTTTTTATTAAAGTCAAAATAAGTCTATCTGGCCTAGTTTAAAGTTACTACAAATATTGAAACGCGCGTTAGGTAAGGTCAGGTTAGGTTAAGCATCTATGTGCTTACTCTGACAATTTTAATCGAAAATAACCCTAGAGAGTGAACGCATTGAGTCTCTAGTTCCACTTAAAATGCTTTTTCAATTTATGCTGTTCCCTACCTGACGTGGTTTTGCATAACAAATCAAGGGTTATTTTCAATTAAAATAGTTCGAGTAAGCGCAGCGAAACACGGCACATTTGAATATTTGTAACTCTAAAACGAAGCAAGATACTTATTCTGACTTCAATAAAAAAAAACTTTGTTATCATAATATCAAAATACCAAAAATGCTATTTTTGAAGGTTTATGTATAAAAACTATGAAAATAAGTATGATAGGTAAATTTTGATTAAACCGATGGATTGAGCATTAAAAAAAAACTACATATTTTGGGAAAAAAAATTTTGAAAATATTAAATTCTATCTAAGAAATTCACAAAACGCAAAACCCAAACTTCATGAAATTTTCTCCCAAAACTTTCAAACAAAGTACGTCCGACTTTTTAATGTGTATTCAAAACCATACACTTTGAAAAAAAAAAAATTGTGTGAGAGCTAAAGCAGAATTGTTCCAACATAAATATTTATTTTGACAAATTGAATGTTATTAATGTATTAAAAATATTTTCTGTTTAATTTAGATGACCTTTGAAAAGTTTAGTGAGCAGCTTTGAGTAAAAATATATGCAAGTACAATAAATCCTTTAGATAAATCAAACATGGTCAAAAATAAAACCATTATCAAATTGTTTGAGAAAGCGGGCAATGTTGGTTCACAACCGAACTTAGTAAGAATAATTAAAGCCAAATATGATGCAATGAATTTTGATGAATTTAAAATTTTATTTATGGAAGCATTGTGTTCTGTTTTTATTTCGGATACGCCTATGTATTGTTCAGTTGTCAACAATATGATCAAGTTTGCTGCCCATAGTTTATCAGTGCTAAGCAAAGACAACATTAAGGATGAGCATGGTGGTATGATTTTGTTAACAGATTTTTTTTCGAATATGTGTTCGTAAATCAAAATGCAACAATAAAATAATTAGGTGGCGATTTTGTCTGTTTTTTGATTATCTGTTTAATTTTATGTCCACTGACACTGCATTGTCAGTTGAACTGTGCGAATTCACAACGTCAATCATACTGTGTCGATTAACAGATAAAGCAGCAGAAGTTCGAGTACAAGCTGTACATGCTTTACACTGGTTGCAATTACCTGACTATAAAAAGTGTAAAATAGTTAAGCAATTCTTATTTCATATGACTTGTGATCCATGCGTTGAAGTTAGAGCATCCATTGCCAAACAAATTGTCATGTTTAATGTTGTTGTCGACAAAATGTTAGAATACACTTTGTCTGATAGGAATAAAAGTGTTAAGAAAGAAGCTTACAATCGGTTAATAGAGTACCCATTTGATCGTTTATCATCCCAACAAAGACAAATTATAGTGGAATATGGATTAAAAGACCCTGATAGTATTAAGTATTAAGTATTAAGTATTTAATCAAAAAGCAACTATTGGAAAAATGGTTGAAGAACTGCAACAATGATTTTGAAATACTTTTAAAGCACATGGATTTAGAAAATGTATCAGTATGTGAACAAATTATAAATATATTGTTTGAGTCCATTTATGATAGTCAAGTTTTGGAATTGACAAATAAGTATTTGAATTCCAAGTCTCGACTAATTAATTTTAATAAATTGACAATGGAAAAGATTTTTCTATGGAAATGTACTAGTAAATATTTAACTATTGAAAAAAAAATAGCATTGGCTAATGCAGAGGGTCATGAATATATTGAAGTTTTATTACCAGATATGGTCATATTTTCTAATTATATACGAGAATATTATTTTATTTACAATACCAGGGGTGACAAAGAATTTATACTGATGCAATTATTGGATTTAGCTAGTATATTTGCTATGGACGATGTTGGTGCAACAAGTTTAAATATACTTTGTCATGATTTAATATTAGACAGCAAGACATCTGTCACACAACCATACAACCTGTCATACAACCTCTAACAGTATTATTAAATTTAACTTTTAAAAATGGACCAGATATTTTAAATTACACCAAACAAATCTTAAATGAAATTCAAACACAGATAATTGATATATTACCTTTAATGAATAAAGTAGGTACACTAATGTTTTTAGAAAATCAAATAGAAATGAAAACCACACAGATCAACAATATTTTAAAAACTGATTCTAATTCAAAACAATTAAGGATGTTAATAATAAAACTGAATAAAATGAAAAGTGAATACAATAATATAAATAATTTATTGACAGACAATGATAAAAAACTAGTAAAAGAGGCAGTCAAAATTTTACTTAAAAGCTTTGAATTAGTCTTTCAAGTACAACAAATGATAAAAGTTTCGAATGAACGGTCTCTGATGACAGATATTATTCAGAACATGATAGTTGATTACTTGAAGTGTTTAATAGTTGATATACGAATGAATGCCATCCGCGCCCTTACTCCATACCTAATGGTCAATAATTTAAATGCAGCTAAATTTCACATAAACACTATTTTTTTTGAAATATCAAGTCCTATGACCGATATGCATTTGATGCTTCAGATATTATTTGAATTATTTTTGACTTATGGTTTAAAAAGTTTTGATATCAGTGATGACATAGATGCAGACTTAATATGTGATGATGACTTCACAGGTGAAAATATCTTACCATTACTAGCAGACTCTGTTGATTTTGAAATTGATGACAGTAGTTATAAAACTGTAATAGTTGAAAGTTTTTGCAATTTAATAGTTTTCCAAGAATTTAAGTCAATATATGTAATATCCAAATTTCTAATAATTTGGTTCAAAGGTTTAACAAGTGAAACATTTAATGTCTACCAAACTCTTATGAAATTTTTTACTACTTATATGTTTCATATTCCTTCTAGCAGTAGTACAATAGCCAAGTGTTATGTTCCAGTACTCAAACAGATAGCCAAACATAAACTGATAAACAAATTATCTATTGATTTAAATGAAATGAATACCACATTACTAAACCTGTGTCAAGGAACCATATTCAGAGATGAAAATAAGCAATTAATGCTCATAGTGAATTGGCTGGTTATATATTAGATTATTTATTGGATGAAGATCAACCATATACAAAACTACTAGTAAATTCTCTGTGTAACCTAAAAATTAATTTTGAATGTAATAACGAACTTGTTAACAAATTAAATCAAGTAATCAACCATTTTAAGTGTATCAAAGATGGCAAAACCAATATTAAAAAATTAAGACAAAAATTCAGTTCAATTTTGCTGAAAGAGAAATCTGAAGATCATGGGAATTTGTTTTCAAAAGAAAATATTAAGTATATATCCCTGATTTACAATGAAGATGATGATAATGATGATGATGAAGATGAAGAAAATGAACACCAATATAGAAATCTGTCCTCAATGAAATGTATGTCAGAAGATATTAAGAAAAGTTTCAATATGAAAAATCAGGAACAATCATCTTCTTTAAATGAATGATTAATTATTTTTGAAATCATGATTTTATGTTAGTAAATACAAAAATGTTTGTATAAAATATTTTTATTTATTTTTTTCCTAAGTTTGTATCAAATTTATCAAATGTTATTAAACATTTATGAGAGTTAAATTTGTAATAAATACATTTTTACTTGGAAAGTTAATTAAAAACATGCAATTTCACACTCCTCTCCTAATAAAATATAAATAAAACTTGAATAAAAACAGTTACCGACACGCATTGCACAATGGATAGACCACTGAGAAGTTGGAAAGGTACGATGTATAGGGTAATTTAACTTATTGGTTTTTCCCATTTATTATGAAACACCATAGGAAAATCAAAAAATAACCTCCCAAAAGTAACAACTCAGTCTGATTTCTTTTCAGAAAAATTGATACACTTGAAAATCTGAGAAAAATTTCTGGTAGAAAAGTTGTTCACAGATAAAAAAAATTAATAAAAATCATTTTAAAACGGATACATTCCTTGCTCTGTTTGGAATCTAAAATTTGATCTTAAAAATGACAAATAAATAAAATTATTTTATTATTTTAAAACAATTAATATAATTTTTTTAGATTTTAAGCATTGTAAAAGATTATTTTATTTATTATTTAATAAGGATTCAATACATTGACATTTGCCTGATAATTAATTAATAAAACATTAAAAAGATTTATATTTACACCTAACCTGATAATGTCATCAATAAATCTATTATTAGTGGTACTAAGTTATAGAAATAAATTAAAAGTGAGAGTACAATATTCTCATGAGTCATGATATTTTGAATTATTTTATTCAAAACAATTGTGCTGCTGTCCCAAAAAAGCATCATACATCAAATTTTTAAATTTATGCCATTGATTTTAATAGTATAGAGTAAAATGACCTATTAAAAGTACAAAGTTATTTGTGCTTCTACGTTTTTTTAAGGTATTTTAATTTTTAAGCAAGATATGTGTGTGTGAAATACGACAATTTAAAAACTTAGTTTATACCTATCTCATTATAGGTACATTATAGGTAATTACCTTCATGATTATTATACGAAATATCAGAATATAAAAATAATTCATTTTTTCCCACTACATATTTTAGAATATTTATATTGTATCATAAGTTTAATAAATGCAATGCCTTATTATATTTGCAAATTGTAATTATTACAAACAACTAGTTTTCATATGAATAACAATTTTGTAGTTCAGTAGTATCTGAAATATTTGTATAAAAGAGGTATATTTTTTTTTATTCATATTATAACTGGCTTGACATGTTATAAATATTCACTTTACATGCAATGAAGTGTAGGTACATAACTATAAATAACTAATAAGTATAATAGTATTTATGTATATTGCATACACATAATATATTTGTACAATACAAAATTGATTATATTGTTCAGAATGTGAATATTTAATTATTTTTAATTTATGTAGGTACCTATCTAAGTAAATTTGTGTAATAGTTATCACATATAATTATTTAATATGTATATATGTGCAAACTGAACAATTAATTGATGAAGCATGTTTTGAGTACTGCAGTCATTGTAGAGACCTAAATACCTAATGTATACCTGATGTAAGTATCTTACCTATAATAAATATTCATAAAACTAATGATCGCGTGTTTATTACTTTCTACAATAAAGATCAATACAAAATGAAATAACAGCGACCTTTATATTTTATGTATATAATTTGCATTTATTTTTAAATATTTTACTGAAAGCTCTATACATTTTACACCTACCTTGCTACCTAATAAATCCACAAAGCAATAAAATACTTGCACTGGTATAAAGAAATTCCACATAGGTAATGAAGTATATAAAGGAACACTAAACACTGCTCTTATATTTATATTGCTTAACACATGGCCAGTTTCTGAATAAGACATAACACAGACTTGGCCACAATGTACCTAGATACCACTACTTTAATAGGCTGAATATTTTTTTTTATGGAGAGGTTGTTTGGGATTTAGCCCTGTTATTATGGTTAGATTTTTATTGGAGATATCATTCCTTATGGCTGGCTCCAGTAGAGACGTTGAAACAATTTCGAATTTGTATAAGTTAATGAATAAAATTTGTTGTTAATATTGGGATATTTTGTCAACATCGCTGAATGAGTGAGCTACTGGGTCAAATAATTAACTTCTGTCTCATCATAATATAGGTTTGCGCTGCAACTTAATTAATATTATAATTAACAATAGTATTCCCATTGGACCAAGCAGTTTTTATAATTATGAGGGGAATAAAGGTTGGAAAACAGAAAAATGTACAAAATTAAGTGCTAAAATGCTTTTATTACTTTCAGTTTTGTTTCAATAGTGTAATTTATTTCAAAATGTTCGTAGAGATTTGAAACTTGAATAGAAAACTTATATTTGCCTTTTCTAAACGTAGTAATATTCTCAAAATTGAGCGCTTTTTGAACTATTTGTAGGTATTTGACATTTTTTAATTTTTTTAGTTATAGTTTGATAGGTATGATATGAATGCAATTGTTTGACCGAACAGAAATGCTTGAAGATCTAACAAAAGATTCAAGTTAGTCAATAAGAAAAAATTTTAGTTTAATGTAGTATTTTTTTTATACAAATTTTAATATTAAATGTTGACGAAAATCGTAAATATTACGACCTTTTAAAACATATATAAGTGTATAACCGAACTCCACTCAGAATCGTTTTTCGTTAGCAGTGGTTAATCGTTGTATACAGTAAACTCTCCTCTAAATCCTACCTTCTCAACTTCTCACCTACAACAGTGGCCCACCAATCGTGTTAAGTATGTCGGTCTCTTTTTCACTTTATTTACACTATAAAACGGTAGATCATATGCCAAACTTCACATTTCTACATTAACGAGAAGTGTGTGCCTTATAATTTTGATGATAACTGAGTGAGCCAGTCAATAACAATAATTCAAACTTTTGGAATTCTTACCTTTTAAAATGACTTAATATTTAGGGTTTCATTTTTTTACAGTATCCTGAGTTCAATCCATGTTTCAAATTTTTAAATTTCATCTTTAGAGGTAAACAAAAGATATAAGTGTGAATTAATCTGGGTGAATTGGTTCATGTAAAGAAACAATGGCTTACTTGCTGGAACTTGCAGAGTGCTCAGATAAAACACATGCTTGTAATATTATTGTATTATGTAGTCATATATTTTAACATAATATTTTATATCATTATGTAAACACGTAAACTTACAAAATTGTACCTATTAGAATTATTATTATAAAAAAATGAAAAATACGTTGTGCGTAAAATTGCACTATAAAATACCTAAGTACCTACCTGCCTACATCAGCTGTAAAGTTACAATCGGAATACATTTCATTATAAATTATTTTATATTCTATTTTTTTTTATTTTTACACTTACGTTGATAACCATCGTATTATATTCTAAATTGTTAAAATACTCGTAATTACCCGGGTACACTGTATAATTTATTCTGGCATTGAATGGCGAATTGTGTATAACAGCTCTGCGGTATAATAAGCAATAACAATAATAGGAATTGTATTGTTTTGAAAATTCCGTAGTATTATAATATTATAGTTATGTGGCTTTATATAATGTGTTTTACAATTATTGTATTTTATTATGTCAGTATAAATATTAAAACAAATGCCTATATTATGAGTATAATAATTGCATAATATTTTATCGTATGTTAGAGGTGGGTCGGTAGCGGCCGAATGAATCAAAATGATTTGTTCATCGGTCGAGAAGGCCAAATAACGTTCAGAAATTATTCGGTCGAATCGGTCTTACGTCTTTTAACGATTTTGAAAAAAAACTGTTTCACGAATTAGTGTTACTGACTGAAACCGAATTGGAATTTGGATCTTTAGTGCGCGTGGTAACGGGTAATCGGTAAAAAAAGACCAAAGAAAAAAAGAACAACAATTTTAAAATTTTAAATAATATACCTATTAATTAACTATGTAAAATTAAAAAAATGTTTATTTAATATTATTTTTAAAAATATATTTCTTATGAAAACTGTTGGTTTTTTTTAATTGTTTTTAAAATGTTTTTAATTAAAGTCACTAAAGTGTCAGTGTCCTAGTGTTATAATATAAATTATAATGATATAATTTTTTAAAATTTTTCAATGTAATAATTTATAATCAATTATTATATTCAAAGTTTTAAAATTGTGTTTTTTTTTTCCGGGATTCGAAGTAACGCTGTAGATACATCAACGAGAATACTAGTAGGTACATAATACTATGTAGTAGGTAACTTAGTTTATGATATAAATACAGCTGCAGCTTATCAGATAATGTATTATTATATTTAATGATAACACTACTTGTTATCCCTCTTGGAGTGATGGAGTAATCGAATTTAATTTTCAATATTACGGTCTATGGTTATGCAACATCGAGTAGATCGGGCTGCTTCATAATTAATTAATCTGTCACCGATTCAAAAGAAAATAGATTCACCTGATAATAGGTACAATTTTAGACGCATGATTAATACGACTTGAAACGAGAGAAAATTCCTACCTCTACATTGTATGTATTTTTGTTTTTACAAAGTGATTAAAAATCTTAACTTGTGATTATATTTTATTACGCGAGTGCAAATCCAACGACAGTAACAATATAATATCAAGTGCAGTCCAGTCATCCAAGACTTAGAGTGGGAGGGGGCGCAAAGGAACTCGGTCCTTCTGTCTGCGCTTAAAAGGCTCTTTAACTCTTTAACATAATCTTCAAAAGGTACGCTGAAGATTTAATTGAATAAAACAAAAAACATCGAGGGAATCCCATTTTTACCATTACCTATGGAAATAGAATAATAATTATTCCAATTTAATTTCTTAATTATTTTATTATAAATATTTATAAAATACCTGCAAGGGCCAGCCCGGCACGTACAGGCTTTGTGCTGGGTTCTTTAAATTTAAATCCTGACCGAGCCGAGATTTTTTTTTTTTTACGAGGACACTGCGTGAAACAAATAATGACCATGTCGTCATGAATAATTTAAAAATTAAATTATTTGCTTATTTTATCATTTTCAAGGGTAATCATAAAATATATTTTATTACATATAATTCTATATGATCTTATCTTGGGAAGTGAATAGCGTGGCTTCCCACGTCGCCGACTCCTATTTTGCCAACATCCCATTTTGCCGGCAAATAAATCGGTTGTATTACTATTTTGAATTGAAATATTATTGTTGCAATGCAACTATTATTACTGAATAATTTCCAGTACCGCAATCGCGTCATGAACGTAGGTAAATATACATTTAGTATTATCGGAAAATACAATAACTATTGACAATAACAATAGTTAATCAACGATTCGATAAATGTTCAAAATCATTTTTCTCGTTATTTTCATAATTTAATTTTAGTACAGTTTTGCAGTTTAGTACAATGACAATTTAAGACAACCCAGTGTAAACCCTGCAAAAATGACAACGAAAACGTGTTGTTTTAACACGAGCTGTAGTGGGATGAAGTTACTTAGAGTACTTGAGTAACGTACGTCGCAGGTAAATATTAACAAAATAAAATGTCGGCAAAATGCGAATGAACCGCGAATAATGATTGATAATAATCATAACGCGTTCTTTGCTGTTAATTCGGTTATTTTTCAGGCACCCCAGTCTTAGGACACTGAGTAAACCCGAGCCGGGACACGTGCATAAGAAAAACCGTACCGAGCCGAATTATCTTACAACCTCGTCGGACCAGTTATTCTCGGCCGGTGCGGCGGCCGTCTACTGCAGAAGCCGTCTTTAGGTACATTTATTCTACACTATTTAAAATTATATTTTAATTTCGTCACGAGGGCGCCTATCATTCGACATTCAGTGGACGTTAAGTCTCAAGGAAAGTGTGATTTATGCGCCGGTCGATATTGTTTAGACAATGGACAAAATTATACCTACGTAGTATATTATTTTATACATTGTGTTTTGCGTAAGTATGCGTAAGTAAACAAAATCAAAAGTAAGTAATAACCGTTTCCGTTGGAACGCGGAATGATCGTATTGTAACGTCATCGGTTTGTCGTCCGGGACAAGGCGGTACGCATTTATGCCGCGGTTTTCTGTTTCGTGTCCGGACTTAAGGCCCGGGCGCGGACGTCAATAACACCATTGTAATAATATAGCTCTGCGGATTAATAATAATTACCTGTTTCGAATTGCGGCTACTTATAATGATTGTTGGCACTTATTTGGTATACGCGGTTCCGAACGGAGCAAGGCGCCCGGTATGGGTGCAGACTGTTGAGGTACAGTTAGGTACGGTAGGTTTACACTCTCGTAGGTCGACTCGAACGAATATGAAACGCGCGCGCCGAACACAAATCACATTATTGTTACTGTGGACGGGCACCTACGTAACGTTACGATATTTTTCACCCGCGGGATGTAAACGAACGGTAATAATTAAATCGCGCGTATCGTAATAACAATAATATTCATACTATATAACGCGTCCGACGTCCGCGATTAAACAAGACTGGCCGACTGGGCCGCCGGCAATGGAATCGTGTCCGCGGTACAACGGTCCGTGGTGCCGGGTCAGTGTTTGTTGACCTTGCGGTTACCACGGTTACGTGCTTCCGCGAATCACGGGGTACCTAACCCACCCAACCTAACCGTACAGGTGTACGGTTCAATGAACCCTTAAATATATATATATATATATATATATAAATATATATGTATATATATATAAATGTGCACGCGTAGTGCGCTGAACGGGGGAGAAGTGAGTATGTACCTACCTGGTAGTTAAAAGCATAGGTATAATAATAATGAGCGTTTATCATGGTGTGTAATATGATACGGAATGAATATACCATTTCGGAAGTATTGTTTGACACGAAATCCATTCACGAAAAACGATTCTGAACGAAGTTCGGTTATACATGTTTTAAAAGGCCGTGATATTTACGATTTTCGTTAAAATTTTATATCAACATTTCCATTGAAAAATTAAAAAAAAACATTAACTTCAATTTTTTCTTGTCGACAACTAAATACAACTTATAACAAACCTCTTGTTAAATTTTCAAGCATTTCAGTTTGGTCCAACAATTTTATCTACACCTATCGAACAAATAAAATTACGTAAAAAACTTGCACGGTTAAAATGTCTATATAAATAACTCGAAATTGGCTCAAATGATTTGAAAATTTCACCACATCTATAAAAAGCAAATATAAAAGTTTCCTGTACAAATTTCAAATCCTTGTGAACATTTTAAATTGAATTTACAGTAAAAAAAATAAAATTGAAAATAATAAAAGTACATTATTTTCGTACAATTTTCCGTTTTTTCTACGTTTTTTCCAGATTATTATGAAAACCGTTTGGAAAATCAAGTACTGAAAGTACCATTCCAGTAGAATCACCTTTCAGAAAAGGTGCTACACTTGATAATCGGTGCATAATTTCTGGTAGAATTTTTGAAGACAGAATAAAAAATAAATAATAAACATCATTGTAAAACCAATACATTGCATATAAAATAAAATCAGTTTGTATATAGAAGACTAGTCAGTATAGGCAATGTCTATATTTTTTTTATATTTCCACGTGCTTTGTAGAGTCAGAAAACCCCTCCTACTTTAAATATGGCGTAGTCGCTAATAATATTTCGCCCGAATTAACCATATTTTTTTTATAGAATATTTGCATTTCTTACTTTAAAATTAATTTAGGTATAACGATATACTTATAACCAAATATGGTTAATGCAATTTGATTTTGTTAATTGAATTTCTTAGACCTGGGGGTGCAGATACTCGAAAGTACTATTCTTAGTACTTACCTATACCTATCGACTAGTGCTAAACATAAAACCTGGATTAAAACAAACGTTACAATTCGTTTAATCAGGATTAAAACTAATTAAACCCGCCAACTTGTAGGATTATTTATTTCAATCAGTTTTCTGAATTAGGCTTTACAATGTCTAACACTATTCAAAACACCTTAAATATTTCGATTATTATTTAATTAGACACCTAATTAATTATTTCGTATAAAGATACAAGTTTTTTTTAACAGAGTTTCATCCAAGTTTGTGAGTTAGTTCAGATTTTACACAGTGAAAGAAAAAAAAGTTTTTTTGCAGTTCGGTTTTACTCAGTTATTGAAAAAACTACACGAAAAAACAAAAAGGATTTTCTTACTCAACAACAAGATTAAAAATGCAACAAAAAAGGTCTCGTTGTTTTTTTATTGGAGTAATATTTCTGGTGAAAAAAATAGTTTACAAAAATTAAAAACAATGAATTTGGTAACGTCACGGCGTGCCGTAAATATTTATAGTTTTACCTATAATTTTGTTTCCAGTTTTCCCCAATTATTTTGAAAACTCCTGAGGAAAATCAAAACATTACCTTTCAGAAAAGCTGCTACACTTAAATACTTGATACACCGGAGTAATTTATTTCAAAAAGTTGTAATATTGCAGACAGCAAAAAAATGCAAAAAATAAACTTCAATAGATCCGATGGTAAGTATGTCCATTCGTATGTGAATAAGTCGATGAAAAAAAAAAAATGCTACTCGACCTCGGGAAAATACAATCAATGTGAGTACATTGTGATCGGGGACCGGTACCTAGTACACAAATAGTTGAATATTAACGTGCGACGTCGACGTGAACTATATTATTATTTATTAGGATTATTATTGTGGTACCTGTACGTACGTCGTCGGCTTTTGACGTCACGATTAATGATTGTACGCGTGAACCCGATAATTGACCGACACCGCTGTCCAAAAGCTGTCATCGCTCCGCTATTCGATTTTATCAATAATAAATGTGTGTACCTATATATAGGTTTTCCAAGTGTTGTGCGTGTACAACGACCTCAAAAGTTGCTACATTGTCGATTAAAAAAGAGGTTTGACCGAATGCTTTGTTATTTACGAATTATTCGTAAACTCGTCTGTGCATTAGGCATACACTTGGGATCCCAGATTTATTATTTTAAATACGGGTCATTTCTTCAAATCATACTTGAAATTTATATAATATGTTACAACTAACAATAGGGGGGGGGGAGGAAAAGAGTGGTTAAGACGTAGCCCTCAAATACAGAGCGTAACTCAAAAGTTATTCAATCAAATTAAACAATTTATTTTTACTTTTTAGATAGTTTTTTGTACTTGAATAATGGCGAGACCAAACTGACATAAGTTAACATAATTAATAGGGTAGGATACAGTTCCGTATTTAAGGGCAAGCTTCATAAGGTGCAGCCTAGGAGCCCGCACCACAAAAAGACCAACAAAAAATAAATTAAATTAAATTAAAAAAATTAGTATACACGAAAACATTTATACACTGTCCACCTCACCAAACGCCATTCGAAATTGATTTATTTTTTTCAAATTCATAAAACCCCCTCCAAAAAAAATCCTGGTTGAGCCTCTGACTGTTTGCAAAGTAAAAGATATAGACATCCATATCGTAGACCGTAGTTCCAACTTATTTTATAGATCGAATTTGTTTTTAAGGATATATTTTGTTTTTTTTCATATAAATCAGATCTTTTTTCACTACAATGAATAAAAGTTTATAGCTTCTTTAAATTGCTGAATACTTTTGCTGCTTCTTTGTAAGAACCTAAAGCTGATAGCACTACTGAATTCAGTCGATAAGCATAATATATCATGTAAGACGTTGGGATCGGGGAAATACAATATTGATAAATGAGAATTAGATAAGAAATTAGATCTATTCCTGCCAGCACTCAATTTGCAGTTATTGAAATTTAATATTATAATGGAAGTGTATAAATATGAAAAATAAAAATTAAATATTCATTGTAATTTATATAGAAATCTAAAAGTTCGTTCAGAATCTAAAAATATAAATAATTTGGAATTAACTTATCTAATAGTATATTTCTACAATACAGAATGCTTTTATTATTAATACTTAAACTATTATTATTATAAATAAACGTAATATATTTTAGATTCTGGTGGAGCGAAGAATGTATTGGTTTTACAAAGATGTTAATTTTTTTTTCTTATGTAAACACTTTTTCTACCAGAAAGCTTATTCCGATTTATACAATGTAACACTTTTTCTGAAAGAAAATTTTCTTGGAGTGGTTCTTTAAAAAGGTCATTTTTTTGATTTTCCCTACAGTTTTCCCAATAAAAGGGAGAGTACTAAAATGTACTAAATATATTAGTAAAATTTGACGATTTTTTTTCCCCTGTGAACAACTTTTCTACCAGCAATTTTGCTCGGATTTACAATTATAGCACTTTTTCTGAAAGGAAATATGACTAGGGAGATACTTTAATGAGGTAATTTTATGACTTTTCCCAGGAGTTTTCCCAATAAATAAGAAAAACAGGAAAACGGGTACAATATTAAACAAATATTATTAAAGAAAATATATAATGCATATGTAATCATTTTAGCATAATATGACTAATATATAGTTGACAAAGCAATACTATCAATCGAACTCTTGGTTAGTAATAGTTAATCATTGCGTACAGATATTATCTTGGAAAGTATAAACTTTTTCCGGGACTTGTTTTCTAGAAAATTCAAAAAACAAGTTACTCTTTATATTATTTTTGTTACCTTTATTTTTGGGAGTCAAACCATTACCTAATTTTGATTTTCAAGCGGCAACCTACATTGAAAATTCCATAAACAGATGGAATATTAATTGAAGTACATTTAAGTGTTAAAATTTTTGATTTCTGTCAAGCTCGTTTACGAGATATTGTACTTTTAAGTATGGGTTGGAGGAGTGTAGTGGTGCATTATTAGCACGCCGCGCGTCGTACCGCCACATAAATGATACTCCACTACTCTTCTCCAACTCAAACTTAAAAGTGGAATATCTCGTAAACGGCTAGACAAAAATCAAAAGTGTCAGCACTAAAATGTATTTTAATTAATATTCCATCTATTTATGGAATCTTTATTATAGGTTGTTATTTAATAATCAAAAATAGGCAGTGTTTTATCTCCAAAAATAAGGGTGGCAAAAAGAAAACATAAATATAAAATTGCAGAGCAGCTTATTTCTTAAATGCTCTAGAAAACAAATTCCGGAAAAAGTTAATGCTTTTCGAGATAATGAGTGTACCTACTCAAATGGAACACCTCGTATATTGTTGACATAGCATCACTACCAACTAAATTTCACTCAGAATCGTATTTTTAGAAAACAATGGTTTATCGTTGTTTACAGATACAAATTAATTTCCTTCTATATCCTACCTTCCCAACTTTTCACCAACAATAATGGCTGCACCCGTCCCCATTAACTTAGAACGACTTTTTTTAGTTTTTTTTTTTAAAAATATTCTTAATGCACCATATGTCCATAGTTATTGATGTTTTTATCTTCGTCTTCGTTGGTAATTATCACGGATAAATTAAAATACTATATTTAGTTCTCAATATTATCAATGACAATTCGTTATTATAATTTTATATTTCATATCCAAAAATTGCGGAATCCAATGGAAGCGTACAC